AACCCTCATTTCATTAATTATGGGAGGGAGGACGTGATCAGACGCAACTCAAATGAAACAAGTCAAATCTGTAATTAGTTGTGGACGTGAAAATGTAAATTGTCGCAGCAGCACATAACCTCGTATGCGATACGATCGTATGGAAATAAAATCTACAGAAAAATTTTTGATGGATATTTAATGACATTCTTTTTGCATTAACCACAGAATCAAAGTGGAGACGTGGACTAGAAAAGGTGTTCCTATACGATTCTTTCTAATCCCATTTAAGTATGATTTCTTCGATTTTGTCATTGAAATATTGTATCGTCACTAGATTAACTGATACTCGTCGATGAATTGCCATTTCTGCCAAAACATAGCAAATGAATTCTTCACTCAGTTTTTACCGGTAGTTTTACTCTGAGAATATTCAAATGATAGTTGTCAAACAATAGAATTATTTAGATGAAATAATTTATTCATGATCTTCATATATCTTATAATAAGCAAACTCACTTTTGACTTTATCTCAAGAAAGATCATAGATCTGACTTGAGAAATTTCTTTAAACCAATAAGAATCGAAAGTTGGAAAAAACCAAGTGTTAGTTGCATATCACACCTGTACTGCACACGTAGATAAAGATAATATTTCTATGCGTAAAGACGCAGAAAGTGTGCATATCAACTATGTTTGTTATAAATTGGAATGATTAATCAATTCTTTACTAAAGTAAGAATTCGTTTGTTATTAATCGTAGGAAAAAGAAGGAAATTTTTTTCTTTCCTCAATAAATACATCCCACGTACGAATGATGAACTAACTGGTGTACTAAACATCGCCAAAACGATGTAGGAAAGAAAAAGTAAATATTATGATATCAAATTACCAACTAATAGCTATAGTTTAAAAAGATTGCATTTTCTTCAGATTGTTTTGATATAAAAGAGTGCAGTATAGTATTACAATAAGTTATTTTATTTGGAGTTAAAGATCGAGTCAATTGTTCAATATATCCCAAAAAGATGAAAATCTTTGTAGAAACTGATGGTATGGGCATTATGTCGTCCTAAATAGAGTCTACGGCCATCATTGAAACGCTCAAATTACAAATCGACGAAAAGCTAGGCCTTCCTCCTTTTTACCAACGTCTTAGTTTCCTAGGACATGTGTTCAAGGATGGGAAAACATTCGATCAGTACCATTCAACTCTTACGTAAACGTCAACAAAAATAAGCAATCACGAACCAACAACAAGCGAAATAAACTTGTTTTTAAGTCTGTTCTTTATCGATTATTTCACTATACGCATGAAATTAGTCAGAGAAGATTTGATATTATAGTTTTTTAACAGAGAAAATTCAATTAATTAATATAACTAATTAATGGAGAACTTTGTTCTGCAAGTATTTTCGTAGCTGTACATNTCAACTCTTACGTAAACGTCAATAAAAATAAGCAATCACGAACCAACAACAAGCGAAATAAACTTGTTTTTAAGTCTGTTCTTTATCGATTATTTCACTATACGCATGAAATTAGTCAGAGAAGATTTGATATTATAGTTTTTTAACAGAGAAAATTCAATTAATTAATATAACTAATTAATGGAGAACTTTGTTCTGCAAGTATTTTCGTAGCTGTACATAAAATACGATGATCTTGAAGATTTAATGGACCACCTGAATGTTAACAAATGAAATCTTATTTAAATAAATCATGTTAAAGATTACCTGATGGATCACAGGTATATGTACATGCTTCTCGAGCAATTAAATCACCAGCAGCTGTTTTTCGACGAAAAAAAAATCATATTTAGAGAGAAAACAGTAGATTGCGAATTCTTACCATAATCCCAAATGTCAAGTCCATATTCAAAATAAGCATCACAACTACCTTCAGCAACTAAACATAAATTCAAAGCGGCACTACCAATGGCTCGAACACTGTTTAAAAAAACTAAGAAAATATTCTCTGTGCAAATTAATTTCTCTTAACCTATGGACTTTTTCAACAATAACTCGTAAATTTTTACATTTAGCTTCGATAACATTTGGTTCTCGACCTGAACCATATTCACCTGCTATTTGTGATAATCAAAGTTCTATAAATACAAAAAAATTAATTATTTTACTTTTTTTCTAATATTAATAACCTGTCTGTCCTGAACATTTGATTGGTCGACCATTTTTAAATGCACCTTTACCAAGTATAGCTGAATATAAATGTTCTAAGATTGGATTATAAATAACACCAAGAATTAATTGTTTATTTATTGCAAATGCTACAGAAATCGCAACAAATGGAAATCCATGTTGGTTCATCACTAAATATCGTTTGAGCTACAGCAGAAGCTGATTCTTCAGCAAGAAATCTAATATTTTTTCAATCATTTTCCATCTTACTTATGTGTGGGAAATTTTTCTTTTAATTTTTTTATTAAAATTTCTTCTACACGTTGATCAAATTCAGTAACAAGATCAGCTGGACCTCCTTTTGTTTCAACGCGTTTTGTTATCGAAAAACCTTCTCTTACGGTCTATTCAAAAAGAAATATATATAATACAACCAGATTGATACATTATCTTTCTTCGCTTTCATATGAACAGTAATATTCATTTTTCCAGCTAACGATACAAGTTCAAGGATAGTTTGGTAATAAGTATCAATTTCTTTCGCTGACATATTTGATAAGACTTGTTTCATTTAGACATAAAAGATAAAAAGACGATGAGAGAATAAAATAAACAGAATGAAAAAAAGAAGCTTATAGATGTAGGTGAGTGTTAAAGATGACGGTAGTATGCGGGGAAAGTACTTGGAAAGTTTTCGTTTAAAATGAATCACTTCTCTGTTTCTTCTAATCAAAAGGCATATTCTTCAGTTTATCATGGATATTTTTGATTATTCTTTTGCCATATTCTGATTGTGATTCTGCATGATCATATAGAATTAATGTGTCATTGAGAGTTTTCCTCGCCAATATATACATCTTCGCTTCAAGATAAACATCAGCTAATTCGACAAAACTCTCCATAATTCGGTTCCTATTGTATTGAATATCACGGATTTCTCTTATTTCTGGTTTTAATTCGTATTGTTGTAGTTTATATTGAAGAATTTTCAATTGATATTCAATTGCTTGTGGATAATCTTTGATAACTTTCAGATAAATTTTCACTATTTTCTCATGATAGTAAATAAGTGTAGGTACATATTGCTCACGTTCTTGTGAATATCGTTCAATTGCTTCCTTATAAAAATGAATAGCTTTGTCATAGTTATAGTTTAATTCATAAAGTTGACCCAATCGTTGCATACACTCACTGATATAATGACCAGTATAAGTCTTGTCAGTTAATGCATTCTCCAAAGCTTTTTCTTTAAAACTAATTGCCAATAAAACATTCTCATTAGACTCATCAGTGTTACCAATCTTTGATTTTGTTAAATGTATTTCACTCAAACGATTTAGAGAACCAGTACGATCAGAGTTAGTTGCTGTCGAATGACTTACAACTGCTTCACTGTATTTTTTCGATTGATCGTGATTTTTGTCAGCTAATTTCTGATAACAATATCCGATTTCATTATAAATTCTAGCGATTTCATTAATTGCATCAATATTGGATTCACCAACTGTTTCCCACAATTGAATAGCTTTCTTATAATTATCAATTGCTAAGGGATAATTCTCTAATATCAATTCTTGATGACTACCGATAATATCCCATTTAACAGCTGATATCCATTGTTGTTCGTTTGGAAATAGTTCTATCAGTTTTCTAAAAATAATGTCGACATCGTTTGCTCGGGTATTATAAGAAGGTAAAAAGTTTTTCAATCGGATGACATTATTTTTCAGATTTCTATCATCATTTTCATAGGAAAATTCTATCGATGAACTATATTGTAGTTTCAAGTGCCATTTCCAACATTTGTCATGTAAAAAATCTAACTTTTCAAATTCCATACCAGGCATAAATAAAACTTCGTCGTCATCCGGTATATGACTTAGATCTATAATAGATGCATATGGACGTGATAACAAACGTGGATCATAATCAATTTCAAATAATACTTGTTGTGAGTTATTCGGATCAGAATACATTTCTACAACCGATCTGTTAAATGATGTAGAGAAAAAACAGTTAACAGTGAGATACTTGTCAGAATATGGTTTTAAACGTTGAATTTCTTCTTTTGACATAAGTTGACTGCGATATACTTTTAAATTCGATGCTTGACTGTCTTCAGCTAATATTCTATTTTCTTGAAACCTATTATTCAATGTTTTATAAATATCTTGTATGACGATTCCAAATAAAAATAATAATTCAGTATTTCGTTGACGAAGTGCTTTGTTTAGAATTGGAAATAAAAATGAAGGACGAGTATACCATCGTATGGCATTTTTAGATTGATAAGTAGTTTCAAATTCATCCAAATCATCTAGGATCTTTTTATTATTATTTTTAGTTCGATAATAAACTTTTAATGTATTGATTAATCGTTTTAAATAACCATCTGGATATTGTAAATGACACAGAAGGTCAATGTATCCAGCCCACCAAGATGAAAAATTATCTGTTGTACTCTGTGTTTCATCAACTGGTTCGAAAATTTGACAGATGATAGATTCAGCAGCAGAACATAAATCTTTCATCAATTCTTCAGTATTTGTGTAGAAACGTTTGATCTAAAACTGAAAGATTATAACTAAATATAAAATTTTAATTTACTTTAGAATATTTAACTAATAATTCTTGAAAATAAACTTGTTTATCTTCACCAGAAGTGGAATACATATAAATCGAATGAATATGACGAAAATGATGAACTTCAGAATAAACAGATTCATCAAATATATCTGAGCAAACTAATAGTGTTGTGAGAATATTCTTTTCAATATGTTGATGACATTCATCCCATGAGGAAAAGTAATGTATGTCGTTAATTATTTCAGATAGATTTTGCTGAACACCGATGTTCGTTATTGGTTCTTTGATCTGATGATTTAGCCATATTAATTGTAATGATTCAAGTTTCACTTGGTCGTGCGTGAAGAGTAATTCTGTTTGTTCACTAGTCGTCATTTTTACAAGAAATACTCGATCAAATTTTTATTTTCTTCTTCTTTATAAAACAAATATAGAAAGCACATTTTCTTCGATCTCGTTGAGAAAACGGAACAAGGAAGAAAAATATTTCCAACCAATGGTTTTTCAGAATCATCATCTACTTCTCAAATTTTATTTAGAAAAAATTCAAAATGATTCATTAAAACGATCAAACCAATCATAAATTTGTTCTTCAGTATATATTCTTCGTTGATCAATGTTTGTGAAAACTTTCATTTATCTAGGTCACATACCTCGTGTCAAAAGTATCGAGACAAAGATAATGATGTGCTTCGCATCATTCTCAGTTCTTGTTGTGCATAATACAAAGCATTTACATCTGTGATTGTATNCTGGTTTTAATTCGTATTGTTGTAGTTTGTATTGAAGAATTTTCAATTGATATTCAATTGCTTGTGGATAATCTTTGATAACTTTCAGATAAATTTTCACTATTTTCTCATGATAGTAAATAAGTGTAGGTACATATTGATCACGTTCTTGTGAATATCGTTCAATTGCTTCCTTATAAAAATGAATAGCTTTGTCATAGTTATAGTTTAATTCATAAAGTTGACCCAATTTTTCCATACACTCACTGATATCATAACCAGTATAAGTCTTGTCAGTTAATGCATTCTCCAAAGCTTTTTCTTTAAAACCAATTGCCAATAAAACATTCTCATTAGATTCATCAGTCTTACCAATCTTTGATTTTGTTACATGTATTTCACTCAAACGACTTAGAGAACCAGTACGATCGGAGTTAGTTGCTGTCGAATGACTTACAACTGCTTCACTGTATTTTTTCGATTGATCGTGATTTTTGTCAGCTAATTTTTGATAACAATATCCAATTTCATTATAAATTCTAGCGATTTCATTAATTGCATCAATATTTGATTCACCAAATTTTTCCCACAATTGAATAGCTTTCTTATAATTATCAATTGCTAAGAGATAATTCTCTAATATCCATTCTTGATGACTACCAATAATATCCCATTTAACAGCTGATATCCATTGTTGTTCGTTTGGAAATAGTTCTATCAGTTTTCTAAAAATAATGTCGACATCGTTTGCTCGGGTTTTATAAGAAGGTAAAAAGTTCTTCAGTCGGATGACATTATTTTTTAGATTTCTATCATTATTTTCATAGGAAAATTCTATCGATGAACTATATTGTAGTTTCAAGTGCCCTTTCCAACATTCGTCATGTAAAAAAGCTAACTTTTTAAATTCCATACCAGGCATAAATAAAACTTCGTCGTCATCCGGTATATGACTTAGATCCGTAATAGATGCATATGGACGTGATAACAAACGTGGATCATAATCAATTTCAAATAATACTTGTTGTGAGTTATTCGGATCAGAATACATTTCTACAACCGATCTGTCAAATGATGTAGAGAAAAAACAGTTAACAGTGAGATACTTGTCAGATGATTTTACACGTTGAATTTCTTCTTTTGACATAAGTTGGCTGCGATATACTTTTAAATGCGATGCTTGACTGTCTTCAGCTAATATTCTATTTTCTTGAAACCTATTATTCAATGTTTTATAAATATCTTGTATGACGATTCCAAATAAAAATAATAATTCAGTATTTCGTTGACGAAGTGCTTTGTTTAGAATTGGAAATAAAAATGAAGGACGAGTATACCATCGTATGGCATTTTTAGATTGATAAGTAGTTTCAAATTCATCCAAATCATCTAGGATCTTTTTATTATTATTTTTAGTTCGATAATAAACTTTTAATGTATTGATTAATCGTTTTAAATAACCATCTGGATATTGTAAATGACACAGAAGGTCAATGTATCCAGCCCACCAAGATGAAAAATTATCTGTTGTACTCTGTGTTTCATCAACTGGTTCGAAAATTTGACAGATGATAGATTCAGCAGCAGAACATAAATCTTTCATCAATTCTTCAGTATTTGTGTAGAAACGTTTGATCTAAAACTGAAAGATTATAACTAAATATAAAATTTTAATTTACTTTAGAATATTTAACTAATAATTCTTGAAAATAAACTTGTTTATCTTCACCAGAAGTGGAATACATATAAATCGAATGAATATGACGAAAATGATGAACTTCAGAATAAACAGATTCATCAAATATATCTGAGCAAACTAATAGTGTTGTGAGAATATTCTTTTCAATATGTTGATGACATTCATCCCATGAGGAAAAGTAATGTATGTCGTTAATTATTTCAGATAGATTTTGCTGAACACCGATGTTCGTTATTGGTTCTTTGATCTGATGATTTAACCATATTAATTGTAATGATTCAAGTTTTACTTGGTCGTGAGTGAAGAGTAATTCTGTTTGTTCACTAGTCGTCATTCTTACAAGAAATACTCGATCAAATTTTTATTTTCTTCTTCTTTATAAAACAAATATAGAAAGCACATTTTCTTCGATCTCGTTGAGAAAACGGGACAAGGAAGAAAAATATTTCCAACCAATGGTTTTTGAGAATCATCATCTACTTCTCAAATTTTATTTAGAAAAAATTCAAAATGATTCATTAAAACGATCAAACCAATCATAAATTTGTTCTTCAGTATATATTCTTCGTTGATCAATGTTTGTGAAAACTTTCATTTATCTAGGTCACATACCTCGTGTCAAAAGTATCGAGACAAAGATAATGATGTGCTTCGCATCATTCTCAGTTCTTGTTGTGCATAATACAAAGCATTTACATCTGTGATTGTATTCCGAATTGATTTCATATAGAATATTAGTCGGAGGTAAAGAGATAAAGGAAATGCGTACGCATAGAACACGACCCAGATGACGAATCTGTAGAAGAAAGAGTAAAAAAGAAATCTATATGTTATCGTTGGAAACATTTACTTAAGTAAAATAATGACGGGAACGCGTCAATGGAGTCGTTGACTTATGAATATGATTTACAGAAAAGTAAAATAAGCGAACAGAATGAGAATGACGTATTTGTTTCTATCATAAAAATGAGAGGATAGTTTTATCTGGGAAAGAGATGTCTCTGACGTAGATGAGCGTAAAATCAGTTTTGTCAACGCTTTTTCGGTAAATATGTTTTTATACACTTTAAGTACTTTTTATTTCTAAATATAAAACTAAAGTTATCCTTTGAGAATATCGTTCATAAGTTGCTTGTGCTTTTGCAGAACCCAGTGTGAGTATAATGGAGGATGTGTCTCTTTCTTCAGCAGCCAATACTTCGAGAATATCATCAAACTTGTCAGCAGAAGTCAAATCTTATCTCCGAAATTTAAATCTGTTTCCATCGATTCCACCCTCGACAAATGAATATCGACTTCGAAGTGAACGAATAGCAACACGATTATACATCATTCTCTTGATGTTATCATTATATATTCTTGTCATCTACACTTCACTAATTACTGTTACAGAAATTGTTGCTGTTCCCGCATCCACAACGACAGAGTACTCACAGTCATACAACAAATATTCCGAAGCATTAACATGTCCGTGCTCAAGAATTTCGATCAACTATGGTACATTTCTTCATCTTGATTATGTTCTTCATCGTGTATGCACCAGTGATTTCGTTAATGATGAATGGATAGATTATCTGCGGTTAGCACGAGGCGTTAAATCCCTGCGTTACATTGACTTTCGATGGACAGCTGCATCCATATTTCAAGGTTTAAATGTTTTCTGTGAATTGGTTAATGAGAGCATTTCTAACCGGTTACTTCAGTTGTATTCAAGTCAATATGTGACTGCAAATGTTATACCTCATGAGCTATTCCAATCACAAGTGAAATCATTTATATCTCAATTCATCTTATTAACGACGAATGATTTTAAATTTTCATTATTTACAATACAAAGGACAACGCAAACCAATAATATAGTATCTGCTCGTCAAAATAATGTTAGACTATATAAACTTCCTAATAGCACCGAGATTGCTCCATCTACGGTGCGGTACAATGATTGCGACTGCGCAGCCTCTTCACAATGCATTGCTTCTTCACCGATTTTGAATATTAGTGGAAACACAAAGTTGTTCATCGTACCAGGATTTCGAGCTTCATGTTACCTAGTTGAGGCATTACTTCAATCGGATTTAAGATGTTTTTATAGAGAGAAATGTATTACTACATTAATATCATACTTACCTACTTCTCCGACATTCAAGATAACAGCTATTAATAGCTCGTCATTGGTTCGTTTCTATGTAAACTCGACAATTCAATCCATTCTTGATGAATTGTTCGTCGAAAAATGGATACCTTCTATTCAATACGAGAGTTATTACAATAACTGCCAACCGGAAAGATGTATTTATATTCAAACAACGAAGACTGGTATTGTTTATGTTATTACAACATTGATAGGACTCATTGGTGGCTTGATTCCCGTATTGAAATTCGTTGTACCAAGATTAGTCATGTTTGTACGAAGGAAAAAAGTGGACAATATACAAGAAAACCGTAAGATATGAGATACTCTCTATAAAGATTGTAAAATACTATTGTTTCTTTAGAAACACTTGAGCAAGAACCAGCATATAACTGTATGCAAAGAATTAAAAATCATCTTTGTACATTGAACGTGTTCCCGTCAGTTCCACCATCAACAGATGAACATCGACTTCGAAATGAACGTATTTCGACGAAAGTATTTCTCATTCTTTTCACCTTATCAATAACTATTCTAAATCTTTATAACTCATTGATAATTGTAACACAAACTGTCACTGTTCCATCACCTTCACTTACACAATATTCACATTTATATGACAAATATTCAGATGCATTGACATGTCCATGCTCTAAAATTTCGATGAACTACGATACATTTCTTCATCTAAATTACACATTTCATCAAGTATGTACAAGTGATTTCGTTGGTCAAGATTGGATCGATTATCTAACGACAATTGCCAACAGATTTCGTGCTAAAAGAAACGATTTCCGATCAACTGGCACATTGTTATTTCAAGGTTTGAAAGCATTTTGTCAATTAGTGAATGAAATAATCTCAAATCGTATACTTCGACTTTCTTCATATCAATACGTGGCTGTATCGGTAACACCGGTAAATGTATTTCGATTACAAATTGATACTTTCATATCACAATTTAAATTATCAACTATAAATGACTTTTTGTTGTCACTTTCGGCAATACGAGATACAACTCAAAGTAATAGTTTGGCAACAAGCAAGCAGACGAACCATGGATTTCAGATGCGAACCACAAGTCTGATTCCATATCCAATATCGTATGGTAATTGTAGCTGTGGAACTTCACCTTTCTGTGTTCAACAATCTGCAATAATAAGTATTCCTCACGAAAAAATACCTTTCTCTATACCGGGCCTTTTTGTTGGATGTTATGTGATTGAATCATTACTTCAATCAAATTTACAATGTTTCTACAATCAATCATGTATCAAAACGTTGCAATCGTATTTCAAGCTTCTCCAACCACTGGATGTCAAAGCACTTGATTCATCGATAACAAGTAACTTTCTCCCTAATTCGACAGTTAAAAGGCTTGTTGAACAATTGATGGTAGAAACGTGGACTCCGTCAATAATGTATGAGAATTATTTTAATGCGTGTAAACCACTTCAATGTCTCTATACAACTGAAACAAAGAATGGCTTCATATATATGTTCACAACATTACTTGGATTACTTGGTGGTTTGATTACAGTACTGAAATTCATCGTGCCGAAAGTGGTGATGTTCATAAGAAGGAGAAAGGAAACAGAAAGAACGAATAATGGTATGATAATATCTAAGCCTATGTCAGTTTATTTTCTTATTCTATTCAAAAGGTATTAATTGGAAAGAACGAATTCGACTTCTTGAACAAAAGATGAAGATATTTATTGGAAACTTTAACATGTTCCCATCGACTCCACCATCAACAGATGGGTATCACCTTCGAAATCAACGAATCGCAACACGATTATTCATCATTCTCTTGGTGTTATCATTATATATTCTTGTCACCTACACATCAATGATCAGTGTCATAGAAACTATCACTGTTTCAAACCCGTCGCTCACAAAGTACTCAAAATTATATAGCGAACACCCACAAAGATTAACATGTCCATGTTCAAAAGTATCGATTAACTATGGTACATTCCTTCAGCTTGATTACGTTCTTCATCATGTATGCAACAGTGATTTCGTTACCAGCAACTGGGTTGAATATATTCGTAAATCTAGAGAAATTGCATCAGGTCCTGTCTCAGTATATGGCTTTTTAGCGACAGGTCCGCGTACGTTCCAGGCGTTGAGTGCTTTTTGTCGATTAGTTGATGAAATTATTTCAAATCGTCTAGTTCAATTCTATTCAAATCAATTCGTTACTGCAAATGTTATATCCAACGACGTTTTTCAATCACAAGCGAAATCATTTATATCTCATTTTATATTGTTAACCACGAACGATTTTCTCTTGTCACTATCAACAATCAGAGATACGACTCACAGTAACGCTCTGCTATCCAGCTTCATTACTAATTACAAAATTCTCTACGAGGGCGATGACAAGAATTTAAAATTAGTAACACAAACTGTGGGAACATGTAGCTGTGCAGCCTCATCTAGATGTATCCGTCCATCTGAAATCTCGAGCAGAGATGGTAGCAAAGTGGTCTTTACAGTGCCTGGCCTTTATATTGGATGCTATTTAGTTGAAGCATTGCTTCAATCAGATCTCACATGTTTTTATGATAAGATGTGTCTCAACCAACTACAATCTTATATAAGTAGTGTTATATCAATGAATGTCACATCTCTCAATACCTCATTATTAATTCGCTTTTCCGAAAAATCGACTGTTGCTAACATTATCAATGAACTCATGGTGGAAAAATGGATTACATCTATTTTATATGAAAAATATTATAATGAATGTGGACCAACCAAATGTAGTTATACATATGTGACGAAGAACAGTATTATTTACATTGTTACAACGTCAGTGGCGTCTATTGGTGGATTGATAACAATATTGAAACTTACTTTATTAGAAATAGTCAACTTTATCGCTTTTTGCATTCGTAAATGGAGTACAAGGCGTGCTGTAGTTGTTCCAATGACTTAGATAAAAATTTACAAGTAAATAATATATGACAATAATTCTCACCAAATAAATCATATTCTTCTTACAATCGCTGCTTTTCTATATATATTAATGATTGTTATGTCTTCGACGTTGAAATCCATTGATTGAAGTCAATCATATTATGAACGTGATAGAGAAACTTCAATATGTTTATTTCTGTTATGTAAAAAAGGTATTATGATCGCTCTTTCAGTCCCACCATTTGAAATATAATTTGTCGCTAATGGTTTTGATTAAGTAATTCTTTGTCAATTCTTGTAATCTGATTAGAGTCTGTAATTCTTCAATCCACGTCGCGTTTAGACCAAACACACATAGTGAAAGTTCATCATGCATCGTTTTCGTCAACAAATATTGAAATGTTGGTACAAGCGACTTGTTAGACACGCTGAAAGCCAAGTTTTGTAAATTAGGACAAAGATTCATCATTGCTTGGATTAGTCTCTTTGTATAATATGCTTTAAAAATCATCTTTCTGATTTGATTGTGATTGATTACGTATCGAAATAGTTCACTCTGTTCAATCGAGTTAAAATCTTCGGAGAGCATTGTTTGAAAAGTGAATGTCATCGTATGAACACTCGGTGTGAGTCGTATTAGTTGGACGATGCTTCTAAATCTCATTAATGGAATATCAAGAGTTACTTTAGTAAGCTGTTTTAATGGTACAATCGAACCTAACTGCATTATGACATATCCATTGGGAAGAACACGACAAGGAGTGTACATGAAAGTTACCGATGTAACATTTGGAAAGAATTGGGTGCAGCTGCGGATTGCATTCTCTTCGCGGATACGTAGATGTTGAACGTGAGGAAGATCAGTTTCATTGCAACATTTAAATTGTGAGGTCAACAACTGTGGAACTAAGAAGAAAGATCTTTTTCTAGAAAAAAAGGCAAGTTATGTCGCAAACTATCGTATGTAACGATTATTAGTCTTTACCTGTCAGTGAAAATAGAACAGAATATCTCATGTAGATATTCGTCGGAGACTGGTTCACGACTAAAGAATTGTTGTTTTATGCGTAAGTTGCCGTTAGAGTAAAGGTTACGATACATGAACTGATATAGTTTCATAGCGTAACCACAGACTGGTAATGTTCTAGGACAGAGATCCCAGGCCGTTAAGTTGGGGATAAATGACTGGATATGTTTTTCTTCTCTGTCTGTGAGTATACCGGGCCAGACTGACGAAATATGAAGAACTTTGATATTGGCAGCATGAATTTTGATAAATTTTTTAACATTGACATGTGAGAGACGATCACTCATGACAAGCATACGTCTTCGGTCGTTAAAGAAAGCGGCGAATAAGAGTATTTCTGGCATATGAGAGACACACTCATACCTAACTGATAAACGTTTCAATTCAGGTACGTATGATAGAATAGTAAGGACTTCATTCAAATCGTAATTGTCATTGATTATGAAATATTCAATGGGACTAGATAGATTCGATGACATTGGCAGTGAGTCTAATGAACTGTTCTCTTCAAACTGAAGCTGACAATGTTTCAATGCTGGCAGATGAAATATACTTTGATAGATGTTCAACTTATTAGTGTCACAACCGACGTGAATCGATAAAGATGTCAAATGATTCAATGAAATTAAATCAACAAGAAGATTTGCGAGATGTTCAGCATCTATTTCACATAGGACTAGTTGACGTAGATGAAGGCATTGTGAAATGTCTATTGTTGGTGATGAGACAAATAAATCTACCGCTAATAGATCTAATAAATGTAATGATCGGATATGGTGTTTGTTAGGTGCGATGAAGTCATCATAATAAGGTTGTAATACTGACTTTGATGTTGATAAAACATCAACTTGAACGACGAGATGAAGATGTGCACAGAGATTTCGAAATCGTTCATTGAGATAAAAGAAACCTTGATAAACATCGTAGGTATCGAGATAATCGAAGATTTCATAGATGAGTTCACTACAAAAATCTTCGAAACATGAATTTTTAGTAGAAAAATCCTGTTGAAATTTCTTGGTTGCAACATTTCCATCATCATAACCATCTAGTGAAGCATTTCTGGGTCGTTTCTCGTTCTTCATATCTATCGCGACTAACTATGATAGAGCAACGTACTGGCAAATTTATATTCAATCGAAAGAAGGAATTTCATATGTAAGGTGCAATTACATTGTTATCTGTTTGAAAGCCAACGATGATGAAAGGGAAAGATAGCAAAGCGTTTCAAGACGTCATGTATCCAAATGCGGGCATATGATAGTATTGAATGGTTCCGTTACGCACTATGTTTACAACAAACCTCCGTCCATGTCTGGAATATGTTGAGCTTGCGAAAGTTTCATACACCATGCTTGTTGTTCATAAATGACTATCTAGTCTAAAGAAATATTTCATTGGAATTCCACTGATGATTATGAAACCCAATGTATAATCCCACTATATTCCTTTCGTCTAAATAATAATCTCCTTGCAGTTTTTCAATCGTTTAGTAAAGTAGAGTACAGTAGTAGGAACCAATGGAAATGATAGAACGCTTAAGGTACGAGCAGCTCGATAGTGATATTTGGGTGGATCTGTGAAAAATGACATAAACATAAATGATACATATGGAACACCGAAGATCAAAAGCATTGAGACAAGAATAACGATTTATCTCATCATTTTCAGTTCTCGTCGTGCACGAAGCACCAATCGAAAGTAAAGAAACATAATCATCAACATAAGTAAAGTGTGAGCATAAAACTATACCCAAATAGCTGGAAAATTAAAATCAAAGAGTATTCTACAATTTATCCAGCGAACAGAGCAAGTAAAGGAAATAACAAGCAAAATACCAGTGACATACAAATGAGACAGACTTGTGCTCGAAATGATTGCCAAAATAAACGTGCTGCATGAACAGCAGTCGCGTATCGGTGAAATATTTGGAGTGTAAGCGAATGAATCGTTATGGCAGATGTAGCAGGAGTGACATAGCCTCGCAACATACAAAGTGAATCATTTTGAAAGCAAAAGGTATAAAGACCAAGTGCATTAACAGATGAAAGAAGCAGACTGAAATATGTATAAGCAATAAATATCATCTGAATTGTGTGACAAGTTTTGTCACAAATGATAATAAAGAGCAAAAAGCAGTCACCAATAATGGTTATGATGAGTAAGAACGATGAATAGAATATCAGTTGGAATAAACGACGATTGAAGTTGAACTACTATTGAATACACTCATCATTGAGCTTAACGAGAGATGAAATTAAACTTCGCTGACTGAATGTAATTTAGGTAGCAAGAAAAGAAATTGTGTGTTTCTGGTTGTGAAACTTAAACAAAAAGTTGCCAAAAGAAGATTCAAGATATTATGTAATAAAAGTACTCTTTTCCAATTGTAAACGTTGGAATGAAGAGTGAACTGTAGTTTTTCTCGACTTGCTGACGTACAAAAAACAATTTGGTTTCATTGTTAGATCCTATAACGTGTATGCTTTATTTGATTTCCGAGGAAAAAATCAACAATTTACACTGTGCTCTTTCATAAAATATGAGTCGCAGCTTCATGAAAACATTTTCTATATTATTTATTTACGAAATGAACAAAACATAAAGATCTTTTAGTATACGTGTCGACACAGGAGAGCAGCTTGTAATGCATTTAACTTGTTGTAACACCAAATCCAATTGGATATCCTTGTATTCCTCCTCCATATCCGCCCATACCACCCATTCCACCCATAGGATATCCACCCATACCACCCACCGGAGCCGCAGGATAACCGCCCATACCTCCCATAGGATAACCACCCATACCCATTCCACCCATTCCACCCATGCCACCATTAACAAATCGTTGATAAGCCGCACCAAATTCTGGTGTCCATTGAACAAAAACATTTATTGGAGGCTGAGAGTTATATCCTGGAGTATATCCTGGAGTATATCCTCCGTATGATGCATTTCCTACTCCACGACGTCTGTTGCCAAGACGTCTAGCCGCTCCAAGAGCTTCATATTCAATTTCTCTGCCTTCCCCACGAACTTCATTTCCAATTCTTTGAGCTACGCCACGACGATCATTTTGAGATGCTTCAAGCTGTCCAGATGTCATATTAAATGCAGCTTGTTACCTGCACGATGAGAAAATGACAAGAGACGTTGAGAGTGGTACAGATATATTGAAGAGTGAGAGAGAAGAAATATTGTGCGAAGTCACGTTCCATTAGTCATTCGTAAAGTGTATCCTTACATGTTAAAAAGACCTACAAGAACAATACGTCATTTCATTTAATTATACTGACGTCAAAAATTATATAACTTTATTTTCTAATGAAGTATAAAAATGACATGTTGATATAAATGTTTCAAGTTCCTTGGAAGATATAATGCGTATCTCAATCCAGCGGTATCACTTCCTTTTCTCCATTATTGTTTATGACTGATAACATCGACCTATAAAAGCAGCAACATATTCGTATTGTATTTATCATCTGTTCGAAATGGATTCATCAAGTTTCAAAGCGTTATTAAACGAAGTGAACAAAACATCCTCATAAATCAATCAAATAATCAGACCCTTGTCCGCGCTACCAATCATTCCTAAAAAAGAAATCATCCTTTCATTAAGATAAACCGAAATGAAAAGCATGAAAGTGCATCTTTTAATGAAGTATAACATTATTCAAATTACGAAGAAAAGATACAATAGCATAGAAAATGAATTGATATGAGTATTTCAAACACTTCATCGGTACGCCCACCTTCGTTCTCTCCTTATGATTGCTCTTTATGAGTCATATATAAAAAACATTCCTGTGAATATTAATTAAATGATAACATCAGTTTATATCAAAATACATCCATTCTGTTTGCCATCTAGTCGAATTAGATCGTTCAATTCGACTCTTCGGAGTTAATTGTGCAAGATCTCGATAGATTAGACTAATGAAGTTAAACATTCATTGGAATCTCACAAAAGTGCTCTAGGAATGTAGATATTAAAGAGAGAAAAAAACAATATTTTTGGTGATACACATCTATATGAGAAGCCACGTGCTCAACGCTGTGCAACGGTTTCTACACAACATTTGGTCTTTATCTTTGTTTTCATCATTTCTGTATATATTATTGAAGCTTGTAGGATACAGTTAATATGATGCATCAATATCGATCGAATCGGAAGAAAGTAATCAAGCAATTTTTTTCTCTACTGTGGACATTTCTTGACTTTGAATCTCGATAAGTGTACTACTTTCGAATCGTTGAGCGAAGCAACGTCCTTAAATGACGAAAAAACAGTTTGTATTTCAATTGAGACTATACTTAGTCAGTTGAATAAATTTTTCTCATTAACAGTAAATCAATTAGTTCATCGAAAGCTCTTCTCATATTCTCCATTGTGTTCACATGCATCACAGTAACTATTGCTGTTCTCACTGTTTATTTCACTGTTCCAAAACCAAGTACGGTCTTGTATTTAGTTTTTCTCATTTGTATCTATGTAAACTAGATCATACTTGTCAAATGACATTTCGACAAACAATCAAAAGCTCAATTGTTCATAGTTCTCATCCAAAATCCATCGCACTTGCTGACCTCAACAACGACGAACAAATTGATATTGTTGTTGCAAATCCTGGCACAAATACAATTGGTGTTTTCCTCGCGTTCGACAATGAAACGTTTGCCAGTCAGCAAACATATTCAACTGGAATATCATCTCACCCACAATCGGTGCTTCTCAATCATTTTAATCATGATCAGTATTTAGATATTGCTGTTGCAAACTATGGTACGAATAGCATTGGTGTTTTCTTCGCTTGTGTTAATGAAACATTTCAGAATCAAATATCAATTTCTACCAAAGCATTTCGTCCTTGGTTTCTTGTAGCGGATGATTTTAATAAAGATAATTATACTGACTTAATTATTCTCTTTCCTAGCACTGATAATCTGGGCATTTTTATGGGTAAGAAAAATGGGTTATTTGAAGATCTAGAACTTTATTCGACTGGTTATGATTCTCATCCATACTCGTTGACTCTCGGAGACTTGAATCGCGATTCATATGTCGATATGGTTGTTGTAACCAATGGTACGAATAATGTTGAAATCTTCTATAATGACGGAAGTGGAAAATTTCAAAATGCTATTCTTTACTCGACAGGGCGTAGTTCTAATGCAACATCTGTTGTTGTTGGGGATTTGAATAATGATCAGTATTTGGATATCATTGTTGCGAATTACAATCACCAAAACATTGGTATTTTTCTTAATCTTGGAAATGGGATGTTTGCGCAACAGATGACACATAAACTGGCAACGAACTCATTTCCCCAATTTGTGAATGTTGGTTATTTTAATCAGGACAATGATTTAGATGTTGTTGTTGTTGATTCTCTCAATAGCCAAATACACATTTTGTTAGGCCACGGAAACGGAAGTTTGTCGGCGTCGATAGTGTATGATTTGATTAGTAAATCCAATCCATTATTCATTGCTGTTTATGATTTTGATCGTGACAATCGTTCTGACCTAGTTGTTGCGAATTCTGATGGCAACAATATTTTGATGTTGAATGGCTTTTCTAGTGAACCATCGGCAAGACAAACGACTTACTTGATCGACGAAAGTGCGCGTCCGTCATCTCTTGTTGTTTATGATTTCAATCGTGACAATCAATTGGATATCGTGGTTAACAATTTTGGTGGAAATTCAATAGTGATTTTCTATGGTACTGATGCTGGAAGTTTCGTTCAAGGCGATTCGTATTCAACTGGCGAGAATTCTTCTCCGAGACAAATTACAACTGGTGATTTTAACAATGACAATCGAATGGATATTCTTATCGCTTGTCCAGGCAGTGGTAATGTTGGGGTTTTTCTCGGACAAGAAAATGGAACATTCGCACCGATGGTTCCCTATTGGATTGGTAATGGATCGAGTCCGTGGTTTGTAACTACTCATGATTTGAACAATGATACTTATATAGATTTAGTTGCCTCAAACAAAGGTGTGAAGACAATCACGATCTGGTTTGGATTAGGCAATGGATCCTTTACTAATATGACAACTTATTCGACGGGAAATCATTCGATACCGAAAGCGATTGTCGTCGCCGATGTCAACAATGATAATCATCTAGATCTTATCTTTGCAAATCAAATATCCGATAGACCCGGCGTTTTCTTGGGGTATAGTAATGGAAGTTTCGAGTTAATAACCACGTTTGTAACGGAAATCGATGAAGATGGTTTTATGCTTGTTCTCGCTGATTTCAATCGAGATAATTATTTAGATTGTGCTATTTCATACATCAATTCTGCAATCATTGGCATTTTTTTCGGCTTTGGAAATGGAACATTCAGAGACAGGGTTATTTATTCCACTACAGCTATTGGTCAACCGTATTACATCACTACGACGGACTTTAATCAAGACAATTACCTTGACATCGCTGTAGCAATCTTTAGTGCAAGTGAAGTAATTATCTATTTCGGCGATGGCCAAGGTGATTTCAAAATTGGAAGACGATATTCCACTGACTACGGTTCAAATCTGTACGCACTTGCGGTCGTTGATCTGAATTCTGATAATCAATTGGAAATGGTTGCCACCTATTGGGGTACGGGCTATGTTGGAGTATTAACGCCGTATAATGCAGCGAGATTTTCAAATCAATCGACGTATTCGACAGGTTCGGCTCCATATCCATATTCATTAGCCATGGCTGATTTTAACAACGACAATCAGTTAGATGTAGTGGTCGCAAATTCTGGTACGGATGACTTAACGATACTTTTTGGCTCATCGAATAATGACACATTTAGAGATGCAATAACTTATCTGATGGGAAGCGATTCCAATCCACAATACGTGATTACGGGTGATGTGAACAAAGACAATCATTCGGATATTGTTGTTCTCAACTCGAAAAGTAATACGTTGAATTTAATTTATGGATATGGCAATGGTTCATTTGCTGACCAAATGGTTTACTCAACAGGAGATGACTCACGTCCATTTTCTTTGGTGATGAATGATATAAATAATGACGGTCGAAATGATTTCATTGTTGCCAACGAAATGGCAAATACTATTGACATGTTTCTTGGCTTCGATTATACAACTTTTGAAAAAGCAAATTCGTATTCGATTGAAAATTCTACGGATCCGACTAGTATTGCTGTTAACGATTTCAACAATGATAATCAAAGTGATATGGCTATTGTTTTTCCTACGAACTGCACTTTAGTTATTCTCTTGGGACAAGGTAATGGAAGTTTCGTTATTTCAACAATCTATTCCACAGGCGAGAACTCAAATCCAATCATGGTACTTGCAGATAACGTGAACGATGATAATCCAATTGATCTGATTGTTGCTAATCGTGATTCGGATGATGTTATTGTTTTTCTTGGACATAGCAACGGAACATTTCTTCCCATGATAACTTCGCCCATAGGAAAACATTCTACTCCGTGTGGCATCGCTCTTGCTGATTTTAATGCCGATGGCATCCAAGATATTGTTTCAGCTAATTATGGTACTAATAGTATAAGTATTTTGATTGGATTTGCTAATGGAAGCTTTTCACTGATATATACATATGCAACCGGTGATTTTTCCGGTCCAAAAGCAGTGGCAACGGGTGATTTAAACAACGATGGTCTTATTGATATTGTCGTCGCTCATTATGACGCAAATACTATCGGCATTTTTCTTGCAAATGGAAAGGCAAGTTTTGTAACACAAATTGTCTACACTGTTTGTTATGAATGTTGGCCCAATTGGGTGACAATCAATGATTTCAATAAAGATAACAAATCGGACATCGCTGTCGCTACATTCAATAATGAATATATTAGTGTTTATCTCGGTTATGGTAATTCTAGTTTTGCTAATGCGATGCAGTACTCTACTGGCGACGGTTCTGCTCCTATATATCATACGATTGGTGATTTTAATCAGGATGGGGCATTGGATATTGTTGTTGCAAATAGTGGCATTGACAATATTGTTGTTCTATTTGGATTTAGTGATGGAACATTCCTTTTAGGTAAAGCATATTCAACTGGAACAGGATCAATACCACGTGCAATAGGTATTGCAGATTTTAATCACGACCAGCGACTGGATATTGTTGTCGGGAATTATCAATCAGGTGATATCCGGATATTTCTTGGAGGTGGTCATGAGCCATTTGCAGGTATGAGAAAATTAAATACTGGTGATGAATCAAGACCACATTTCCTTGCTGTCGAAGATTTAAATCGCGACGGATGGGTGGATATTGTCGTTGCTAATTATGGTACCGATAATATTGGCATTTTCTTTGGATCTGGCCATGGAAGCTTCAATACGATGATAACATATCCAACTGGAACCAACTCGGGACCGTTTTTAGTTGCGATTGGAGATTTCAATAACGATAATCAATTGGACATGGTTGTGACCAATTCCTTCGTGAATACAATTGGAATTTTTCAAGGTAACGTCAATGGAACATTCCTTTTGACATCAACTTATTTCACCGGAGATCGAGCAAGTCCACATACAGTTATTGTCAATGATCTGAACAACGATCATCAATTAGATATTATAGTAGCAAATTCTGGCACAAGTAATATTTTTATTTTGTATGGATTTGGAAATGGAACATTTGCAAACGAAATGTTATTCCCATTAGGTTATCAATATCTTCCGTATTCAATCGTTATTAATGATCTGAATAAAGATGGATGGATGGATATGGTCATTGCATGTTATCAAACAAACAATATCGAAACATTGGTTAAAATGTGTTCGGTATGATGATACGAAGGATGGACATACAATACTGTGGAAGAGNTATTGGATGCTATTTAGTTGAAGCATTGCTTCAATCAGATCTCACATGTTTTTATGATAAGATGCGTCTCAACCAACTACAATCTTATATAAGTACTGTTATATCAATCAATGTCACATCTCTCAATACCACATTATTAATTCGCTTTTCCGAAAAATCGACTGTTGCTGACATTATCAATGAACTCATGGTGGAAAAATGGATTACATCTATTTTATATGAGAAATATTATAATGAATGTGGACCAACAAAATGTAGCTATACATATGTGACGAAGAACAGTATTATTTACATTGTTACAACGTCAGTGGCGTCTATTGGTGGATTGATAACAATATTGAAACTTACTTTATTAGAAATTGTCAGCTTTATTGCTTTTTGCATTCATAAATGGAGTGCAAGGCGTGCTGTAGTTGTTCCAATGACTTAGATAAAAATTTACATGTATATAATATATGACAATGATTCTCACCAAATAAATCATATTCTTCTTACGATCGCTGCTTTTCTATATATATTAATGATTGCACCTATACTGACTCGTGTTGTCTTCATGATTTGAAAAAAATCAGACTGAATAAGTTTATGTCTTCGACGCTGAAATCCATTGATTGAAGTCAATCATATTATGAACATGATAGAGAAACCTCAATATGTTTATTTCTGTTGTGTAAAAAAGGTATTATGATCGCCCTTTCAGTCCCACCATTTAAAATATAATTTGTCGCTAATGGTTTTGATTAAGTAATTCTTCGTCAATTCTTGTGATTTGATTAGAGTCTGTAATTCTTCAATCCACGTCGCGTTTAGACCAAACACACATAGTGAAAGTCGATCATGCATCGTTTTCGTCAACAAATATTGAAATGTTGGCACAAGCGACTTTTTAGACACGCTGAAAGCCAAGTTTTGTAAATTAGGACAAAGATTCATCATTGTTTGGATTAGTCTCTTTGTATAATATACTTTAAAAATCATCTTTCTGATTTGATTGCGATTGATTACGTATCGAAATAGTTCACTCTGTTCAATCGCGTTAAAATCTTCGGAGAGCATTGTTCGAAAAGTGAATGTCATGGTATGAACATTCGGTGTGAGTCGTATTAGTTCAACGATACTTCTAAGTCTCATTGAAGGAATATCAAGGGTTACTTTAGTAAGCTCTTTTAATGGTACAATCAAACCTAACTGCGTTATGACATATCCATTGGGAAGAACAGGACAAGGAGGGTACATGAAAGTTACCGATGTAACATTTGGAAAGAATTGGGTGCAGCTGCGGATTGCATTCTCTTCGCTGATACGTAGATGTTGAACGTGAGGAAGATCAGTTTCATTGCAACATTTAAATTGTGAGGTCAACAACTGTGGAACTAAGAAGAGAGATCTTCTTCTAGAAAAAAAAGGCAAGTTATGACGCAAACTATCGTATGTAACGATTAGTAGTATTTACCTGTCAGTGAAAATAGAACAGAATATCTCATGTAAGTATTCGTCGGAGACTGACTCACGACTAAAGAATTGTTGTTTTATGCGTAATATGTCGTGAGAGTAAAGCCTACGATGCATCAACTGATATAGTTTCATAGCGTAACCACAGACTGGTAATGTTCTAGGACAAAGATCCCAGGCCGTCATGTGAGGGATAGATGATTGGATGTGTTTTTCTTCTCTGATTGTGAGTATACCGGGCCAGACTGACGAAATATGAAGAACTTTGATATTGGCAGCATGAATTTTGATAAATTTTTTAACATTGATATGTGAGAGACGATCACTCATAACAAGCATACGTCTTCGATCGTTAAAGAAAGCGGCGAATAAGAGTATTTCTGGCATATGAGAGACACACTCATACCTAACTGATAAACGTTTCAATTCAGGTACGTATGATAGAATAGTAAGAACTTCATTCAAATCGTAATTGTCATTGATTATGAAATATTCAATGGGACTAGACAGATTCGATGACATAGGCAGTGAGTCTAATGAACTGTTCTCTTCAAACTGAAGCTGACAATGTTTCAATACTGGCAGATGAAATATACTTTGGTAGATGTTCGACTTATTAGTGCCACAACCAACATGAATCGATAAAGATGTCAAATGATTCAATGAAATTAAATCAACAAGAAGATTTGCGAGACATTCAGTATCTATTTCACATAGGACTAGCTGACGTAGATGAAGGCACTGTGAAATGTCTATTGTTGGTGATGAGACAAATAAATCTACCGCTAATGGATCTAATAAATGTAATGATCGGATATGGTGTTTGTTAGGTGCGATGAAATCGTCATAATAAGGCTGTAATACTGACTTTGATGTTGATAAAACATCAACTTGAACGACAAGATGAAGATGTGCACAGAGATTTCGAAATCGTTCATTGAGATAAAAGAAACCTTGATAAACATCGTAGGTATCCAGATAATCGAAGATTTCATAGATGAGTTCACTACAAAAATCTTCGAAACATGAACTTTTAGTAGAAAAATCCTGTTGAAATTTCTTGGTTGCAATGTTTCCATCATCATAACCATCTAGTGAAGCATTTCTGAGCCGTTTCTCGTTCTTCATATCTATCACGACTAACTATGATAGAGCAACGCATTGGCAAATTTATCTTTAATCGAAAGAAGGAATTTCATATGTAAGGTGCAATTACATTGTTATCTGTTTGAAAGCCAACGATGATGAAAGGGAAAGATAGTAAAGCGTTTCAAGACGTCATGTACCCAAATGCGGGCATATGATAGTATTGAATGGTTCCGTTACACACTATGTTTACAACAAACCTCCGTCCATGTCTGGAATATGTTGAACTTGCGAAAGTTTCATACGCCATGCTTGCCGTTCATAAATGACTATAGTCTAAAGAAATATTTCATTGGAATTCCACTGATGATTATGAAACACGATGCGTAATCTCACTATATCCCTTCGTGTAAATAATAATCTCCTTGCAGTTTTTCAATCGTTCGGCAAAGTAGAGTACGCAGTGGTAGGAAGTAATGGAAATGATAGAACGCTAAAGGTATGAGAAGCTCGATAGTGATATTTGGGTGGATCTGTGAAAAATGACATAAACATAAATGATACATATGGAACACCGAAGATCAAAAGCATTGAGACACGAATAACGATTTGCCTCATCATTTTCAGTTCTCGTCGTGCACGAAGCACCAATCGAAAGTAAAGAAACATAATCACCAACATAGATAGAGTGTGAGCATACAACGATACCCAAATAACTGGAAAATTTAAATAAAAGAATATTCCACAATTTTGATTGTTAGAGACAGACTTGTGCTCGAATTGATTGCCAAAATAAACGTGTTGGATGAAATGCTTGAAGTGTGAGTGGATGAACCGTTATGGCAGATGTAGCAGGAGTGAAATAGCCTCGAAACATGCAAAGCGAATCATTTTGAAAGCAAAAGGTATAAAGGCCAAGTGCGTTAATAGATAAGCAATAAATATCATCTGAATCGTGTGACTGGTTTTGTCACAAATGATAATAAAGAGCAAAAAGCAGTCACCAATAATGGTTATAATGAGTAGAACGATGAATAGAATATCAGTTGGAATAAACTACGATTCAATGACGATTGAAGTTGAACTACTATTGAATACATTCATCTTTGAGCTTATCGAGAGATGAAGTTAAACTTCACTGACTGAATGTTATTTTGGTAGCAAGAAAAGAAACTGCGTGTTTCTGGCTGTGAAACTTAACCGGAAAGTTGCTAAAAGAAGATTCAAGATATTATGTCATAAAAGTACTCTTTTCCAATTGTAAACGTTGGAATGAAGAGTGAACTGTAGTTTTCCTCGACTTGCTGACATAAAAAAACCAATTTGGTTTCATTATTAGATCCTATAACGTGTATGCTTTATTTGATTTCCGAGGAAAAAAATCAACAATTTATACTGTACTCCTTCGTAAGATATGAGTGGCAGCTTCATGCAAACATTTTCTATATTATTTATTTACGAAATGAACAAAACATAAAGATCTTTTAGTATACTTTTCGACATAGGAGAGCAGCTTGTGATGCATTTAACTTGTTGTAACACCAAATCCAATTGGATATCCTTGTATTCCTCCTCCATATCCACCCATACCACCCATTCCACCCATTCCACCCATTCCACCCATTCCACCCATACCACCCATTCCACCCATAGGATATCCACCCATACCTCCCATAGGATAACCACCCATACCCATGCCACCCCTGCCACCATTAACGAACTGTTGATAAGCCGCGCCAAATTCTGGTGTCCATTGAACAAAAACATTTAGTGGAGGCTGAGAGTTATATCCTGGAGTATATCCTGGAGTATATCCTCCGTATGATACATTTCCCACTCCACGGCGTCTGTTGCCAAGGCGTCTAGCTGCTCCAAGAGCTTCATATTCAATTTCTCTGCCTTCTCCACGAACTTCATTTCCAATTCTTTGAGCTACGCCACGACGATCATTTTGAGATGTCTCAAGTTGTCCAGATGTCATATTAATGGCAGCTTGTTACCTGTACGATGAGAAAATGACAAGAGACGTTGAGAGTGGTACAGATATATCGAAGAGAGAGAGAGAGAGAGAGAGAGAAGAAATATTGTGCGAAGTCATGTTCCATTAGTCACTCATAAAGTGTATCCTTACGTGTTAAAAGGACCTACAAGAACAATACGTCATTTCATTTAATTATACTGACGTCAAAAATTATATAACTTTATTTTCTAATGAAGTATAGAAATGGCGTGTTGATATAAGTGTTTCAAGTTTCAAAGCGTTATTAAACGAAGTGAACAAAACAGGTCATTCCAGCAACTCGACTGTCCATCGAAGCAGCAAGGACGAATTGGTTAAATTTATTCGCGATTATGAACCATAAACCGGTTTGAGAGGTCAGAACAGTGTAACTGAATATCCTCATAAGTCAATCAAATAATCAGACCTTTGTCCGCGCTACCAATCATTCCTAAAAAAGAAACCATCCTTTCATTAAAATAAACCGGCATGAAAGTGCATCTTTTAATGAAGTATAACATTATTCAAATTACGAAGAAAAAATGTAATAGCATAAAAAATGAATTAATATGAGTATTTCAAGCACTTCATCAGTACACCCCCCTTCGTTCTCTCCTTATGATTGCTCGTTATGATGAGTCATATATAAAAAAAAAACATTCCTATGAATATTAATTAAATGATAACATCAGTTTATATCAAAATACATCCATTCTGTTTGCCATCTATAGTCGAATTAGATCGTTCAATTTGACTCTTCGGAGTAAATTGTGCAAGATCTCGATAGCTTCGACTAATGAAGTTAAACAGTCATTAGAATCTCGCAAAAGTGCTCTAGGAATGTAGATATTGAAGAGACAAAAAACAATATTTTTGGTGATACACATCTATATGAGAAGCCACGTGCTCAACGCTGTACAACGGTTTCTATACAACATTTGGTCTTTATCTTTGTTTTCATCATTTCTGTATATGTTATTGAAGCTTGTAGGATACAGTTAATATGATGCATCAATATCGATCGAATCGGAAGAAAGTAATCAAGCAATTTTTTTCTCTACTGTGCACATTTCTTGACTTGGAATTTCGATAAGTGTATTACTTTCGAATCGTTCAGCGAAGCAACGTCCACAAATGACGAAAAAACAGTTTGTATTTCAATTGAGACTACGTAGTCAGTTGAATAATTTTTTCTCATTGACAGCAAATCAATTAGTTCATCGAAAGCTCTTCTCATATTCTCCATTGTGTTCACATGCATCACAGTAACTATTGCTGTTCTCACTGTTTATTTCACTGTTCCAAAACCAAGTACGATCTTGTATTCAGTTTTTCTCATTTATATCTATGTAAACTAGATCATATCTGTCAAATGACATTTCGACAAACAATCAAAAGCTCAATTGTTCATAGTTCTCATCCAAAATCCATCGCACTTGCTGACCTCAACAACGACGAACAAATTGATATTGTTGTTGCAAATCCTGGCACAAATACAATTGGTGTTTTCCTCGCGTTCGACAATGAAACGTTTGCCAGCCAGCAAACATATTCAACTGGAATATCATCTCAGCCACAATCAGTCCTTCTCAATCATTTTAATCATGATCAGTATTTAGATATTGCTGTTGCAAACTATGGTACGAATAGCATTGGTGTTTTCTTCGCTCGTGCTAATGAAACATTTCAGAATCAAATATCAATTTCTACCAAGGCATTTCGTCCTTGGTTTCTTGTCGCAGATGATTTTAATAAAGATAATTATACTGACTTAATTGTTCTCTTTCCTGGCACTGATAATGTGGGCATTTTTATGGGTAAGGAAAATGGATTATTCGAAGATCTAGAACTTTATTCGACTGGTTATGATTCTCATCCATACTCGTTGACTCTCGGAGACTTGAATCGCGATTCATATGTCGATATAGTTGTTGTAACTAACGGTACGAATAACGTTGAAATATTCTATAATGACGGAAGTGGGGGATTTCAAAATGGTATTCTTTACTCTACTATGCGTAATTCTAATGCAACATCTGTTGCTGTTGGAGATTTGAATAATGATCAGTATTTGGATATTATTGTTGCGAATTACAATCATCAAAATATTGGAATTTTCCTTAATCTTAGAAATGGAACGTTTACACAACAAATGGTACATAAAATGGCACAGAACCCATTTCCCCAATGTGTTACTGTTGGTTATTTTGATCGGAATAATGATTTAGATGTTGTTGTTGTTGATTCTCTCAATAGTCAAATACATATTTTGTTAGGCTATGGAAACGGAAGTCTATCGGCGTCGATAGTTTATGATTCGATTAGTAAATCCAATCCATTATTCATTGCAGTTTATGATTTTGATCGTGACAATCGTTCTGACTTAGTTGTTGCTAATTCTGATGGCAACAATATTTTAATGTTAAATGGGTTTTCTAGTGAATCATCGGCAAGACAAACGACTTACTTGATCGACGAAAGTGCGCGTCCGTCGTCTCTTGTTGTTTACGATTTCAATCGTGACAATCAATTGGATATCGTGGTGAACAATTTTGGTGGAAATTCAATGGTGATTTTCTATGGTACGGATGCTGGAAGTTTCGTTCAAGGCGATTCGTATTCAACTGGCGAGAATTCTTCTCCGAGACAAATTACAACTGGTGACTTTAACAATGACAATCGAATGGATATTCTTATTGCTTGTCCGGGCAGCGGTAATGTTGGGGTTTTTCTCGGACAAGAAAATGGAACATTCGCACCGATGATTCCCTATTGGATTGGTAATGGATCGAATCCGTGGTTTGTAACTACTCACGATTTGAACAATGATACTTATGTAGATTTAGTTGTTTCCAACAAGGGTGTGAAGACAATCACGATCTGGTTTGGATTAGGCAATGGATCCTTTACTAATATGACAACTTATTCGACGGGAANTTAGGTTATCAATATCTTCCGTATTCAATCGTTATTAATGATCTGAATAAAGATGGATGGATGGATATGGTCATTGCATGTTATCAAACAAACAATATCGAAACATTGGTTAAAATGTGTTCGGTATGATGATACGAAGGATGGACATACAATACTGTGGAAGAGTTATTCACATAAGTTTTGATTTTATCATGCCGTCTATATAAGAATATTTTTAAAGAATGTTGCAATAGTTCGTAGTAAAATAAAGTAGAGGTAAATAAATATTGCAGTATCATGATCTCAAGTGGTATCGATAAGAGGTAGTCGAAGAATTATAATCCGAAAAGAAAAATATCTTTCAAGCTTTGAGAATTTGTTACGCTGAATATTTTATCACAACGTGCTTTTTCATGATGTGTTATTATCGAAATTGCTCTTGTGACGTATTTCTTTATCAAAAAGTTGCAACGCAACCACGTGCATCTACAAACATCCTCGATTCCATCAGTTTCTGATTGAAAAAGCATTATTTAAACAAACATGGCAAATGATGTAAACTATCCAATAACTTCTTCATCTGTTGAATTCCGTGAGAGAATTTTTTTACAACCAGTCGTCCTTATTTGTATTAATGCGAGCTTCAATGACGATCAAGTCGAACAATTAAAACTATCCGTGAAAGAAATTCACAATATTACTGATCTTGATGAATCTGTGGACTTCATTACCGATTTGGACTATGGAAAAGTGTTTGTAGTTTTTGAAGAATCTACGAAAGACCACGTCGTATCAATTTTCAACGAATTCGAGCTAGTGGAAGAAATTTACATTTATTGTACGAACAAAACGAAATATAACCATCGAATGCTGAATACATGTTTAAAATATAAAGGAGTTTTCATCGACTTTCCATCTTTGTGCCAACAGTTAGAACGAGCAACAAAAGACTATGTACGGGATTCTTTGACAGTAAATCTCATATCTGAAAAGAGAGTTTCGACAGTCGATAACGTTGAAAGAACAGATGATGACAACGAATTCAATACGCAGGAAGCATCAGTCATGTATCATAAATTAATAATGACAACATTGATGGAAATGAAGGAAGATGAACCAAAAGATATGATTGACTTTTGTCGAGCTCAATATGCAGATGATCAGAGTGCATTAACGGCCGTACAAGAATTGGAACAAGATTATCAGAATCATTCGCCTATTTGGTGGTATACAAGAGAAGGTTTCCTATATAAACTTCTCAATAGGAGCCTTCGAGAACAAGATATCTATGCGCTCTACTCACTTCGTACGTTCATACGTCATCTATATGATCAAATCTTCGACATTTTTGTTAAACAACATGTAAGTTGTAGTACGACAACCTCCACCATAGTCACCTTTTATCGTGGCCAACAAATGGCTACACAAACTTTTGAAAGAATAAAAAGTAAAATGGGTGGTCTTCTTTCCTTCAGTAATTTTCTTTCCACGACGACCAACCGAGATTTAGCAGTGATTTATGCGGGAAATACGTTAAATGATCAACATTTGACTGCAGTACTGTTTCAATTAGATGTTGACACCCATTCCAATGAACAACCATTTGCTGCGATTGATCACATTAGTCATTTCGGCACAGCTGAAAACGAATATTTATTTGCAATGGGAGCTGCGTTCAAAATTGATCGAGTAGAGAAGCTAAATGACGAAGTTTGGAGTGTTATTCTCATCACAACGAATGAATTCGATGCAAAACTCCAAGATCTAACTAATCATATTATTGATGATGTAGAATGTGATGATCTAAACCTACAGTTGGGAAAAATACTTTGGACATTAAATGAGAACAGGAAGGCTGAATTCTTTTACTTAAAAGCACTCGAAAAAGCAGTGGACTGGGAATGGCGGGCAACAGTTCTTCAAGAACTTGGTACGGCTTGTATGGACAATAGTGAAAAAGCTCTTGACTATTTTCAACAAGCACTCGAATTAGTTCAGCAAAATATACAAACTGATTATCATCAAATCTTTGGTAGTATCTATAATAATATTAGTGTTATTTACCTCACAAAAGGTGAATATGATTTAGCCTTAGTTTACCTAAAGGAAAGTCTTGCTCGCGAACTCTGTAGTCCACAGCCGGACAAAAGAAAGCTCAGCGTTCGATATCACAATTTGGGAACGATACTATTGAAGCAAGAAGAGAAAATTGAAGGTGAACGTTATCTAAAGCGAGCATTGGACATAGCTCTCGAAATTCTTCCGTCAATACATCCTGATATTGCTATCTATTATCATAGTTTGGCTTCTTGTATGAGCGCAATTGGTCGATTCGTTGAAGCTGTCAACTATGAGCAAAAGGCGGTGAATATTGACTTACATTGTCTTCCACCAGATCATCAACAAACTCAAAATCACCAAAAACGCCTGAAGAAGTATCAAGATGCATTAGAAGTTATGATAAGAATAGCAAACATGGATCGTGAGAGAGGAATCCTTGGACTTGTATTAGGTAATATGACTTTTACATATCCTCGCCGGAAATAAGCGAGCAGATGAACATGTTTCTCGTTCGCGACTTTCTCAAAACTTTAATCGACTGCCTTTTTATCAGTAAAAAAATGCTTATATTCAAGGTCACGTTGGAAAACAAGTTTCTTGTACTAGCAATATATAATTAGGTCTACATGATAGAGCAAACCACAGAAACAGCATTTGTATCACCAGGAGCGACGAGAACGTATTTTTTCGTTTCTTCCATAAACTTCAGATATGTTCCAATTGGTAATATCTTTGAATCCGATTGAGCTAATTCTGTTTTGAGAGATTCATACATTCCATTCGAGTTCATTCTACACATGGTGTACAGTGCGCATAACGTTGATCCATTCATGCCTGTACATACGGGTAACATTGCGTCAAGGTTCTTACACTCCAAGAAATACTTCACATCATCTTCAGACCAAAGACTTAACATGTGTGGCAAAGTTCGAGATGATGAAGGAGCACTTTGAATTGAGAAATAAAACAGTTCGGAGGTTATGTCAACGTGAACTGTATTACTTACCTAAGGATAGCTACAGGCTTAATATCGACCATATGGCCTGTTGATTCGTGATCCTTGACCATTACCGGGACAATTGAAGCTACGCTGGTTCGATATCCATTGATTTCTTGAATGATTCTACTGTATGCTTCATCGAATGATTTTGCTTTATGAAAGTCAATATAAATTTTGTTTGTGGTCAGGAGACCTAGCCAACCGTCTGCACGATAAGGACCTTTGACAATGAGTGGAATGATATGGCATTGCTGTTTGTATGCATAATGTGCTTCCAATTCACAGAATCCACTTTTTTTGTACGAGTCCGACATACAAAAGAAGACAAACTATAGAAAGTTTTCAGATATTAGAAATCATGGTTTCTGATAGATTACTTCGCTGTTTTCAATAGCATGAGACATGGCGCGTGTTGGTGAACCATACATATTATCACGATCCAGCCAAACACGAAAAGTATCCTTTTCAAGACGTTCTTGTATTTGATAAACAAGCTCTTTATCATTATGTGAATAACTCTAAAAGAATCATTCTTCGTAGTATTTCATAAGCAACGAACCTATCTGTTAAATGCGTGGACTTACAATCATAATATCATATTCATACTGCTTTTTGGTTGCAGACAGCTCAGTNAAAATAAAGTAGCGTAAAATAAATATTAGTATTATGATCTCAGGTGGCACCGATAAGAGGTAATCGAAGAATTATAATTCGAAAAGAAAAATGTCTTTCAAGCTTTGAGAATTCGTTACGCTGAATATTTCATCACCACGTGCTTTTCATGATGTGTTATTATCGAAACTGCTCTTGTGAAGTGTTTCTTACTGAAAAAGTATTATTTAAACAAGCATGGCAAATGATGTAAACTATCCAATAACTTCTTCATCTGTTGAATTTCGTGAGAAAATTTTTTTACAACCAGTCGTCCTTATTTGTATTAATGCGAGCTTCAATGACGATCAAGTCGAACAATTAAAACTATCCGTGAAAGAAATTCACAATATAACTGATCTTGATGAATCTGTGGACTTCATTACCGATTTGGACTATGGAAAAGTGTTTGTAGTTTTTGAAGAATCTACGAAGGACTACGTCGTATCAATTTTCAACGAATTCGAGCGAGTGGAAGAAATTTACATTTATTGTACGAGCAAAACGAAATATAACCATCGAATGCTGAATACATGTTCAAAATATAAAGGAGTTTTCACCGACTTTCCATCTTTGCGCCAACAGTTAGAACGAGCAACAAAAAACTACGTACGAGATTCTTTGACAGTAAATCTCATATCTGAAAAAAGAGTTTCGACAGTCGATAACGTTGAAAGAACAGATGATGACAACGAGTTCAATACGCAGGAAGCGTCGGTAATGTATCATCGATTAATAATGACAACCTTGATGGAAATGAAGGAAGATGAACCAAAAGATATGATTGACTTTTGTCGAACTCAATATGCAGATGATCAGAGTGCATTAACGGCCGTACAAGAATTCGAACAAGATTATCAGAATCATTCGCCTATTTGGTGGTATACAAGAGAAGGTTTCCTATATAAACTTCTCAATAGGAGCCTTCGAGAACAAGACATCTACGCACTCTACTCACTTCGTACGTTCATACGTCATCTATATGATCAAATCTTCGACATGTTTGTTAAACAACATGTAAGTTGTAGTACGACAACCTTCACCATAGTCACCTTTTATCGTGGCCAACAAATGGCTACACAAACTTTTGAACGAATAAAAAGTAAAAGGGGTGGTCTTCTTTCCTTCAGCAATTTTCTTTCCACGACGACCAACCGAGATTTAGCAGTGATTTATGCCGGAAACACATTAAATGATCAACATTTGACTGCAGTATTGTTTCAATTAGATGTTGACATTCATTCCAATGAACAGCCATTTGCTGCGATTGATCACATTAGCCATTTCGGCACAGCTGAAAACGAATATTTATTTGCAATGGGAAGTACGTTCAAAATTGATCGAGTAGAGAAGCTAAATGACGAAGTTTGGAGTGTTATTCTCATCACAACAAATGAATTCGATGCAAAACTCCAAGATCTAACTAATCATATTATTAACCATGTAGAATGTGATGATCTAAACCTACAGTTGGGGAAAATACTTTGGACATTAAATGAGAACAGGAAAGCTGAATTCTTCTACTTAAAATCACTCGAAAAAGCAGTGGAATGGGAATTTCGGGCAAGAGTTCTTCAAGAACTTGGTACGGTTTGTATGGACAATAGTGAAAGAGCTCTTGACTATTTTCAACAAGCACTCGAATTAGTCCAGCAAAATATTCAAACTGATTATCATCAAATGTTTGGTAGTATCTATAATAATATTAGTGCTATTTACCAAACAAAAGCTGAATATGATTTAGCTCTAGTTTATCTAAAGGAAAGTCTTGCTCGCGAACTCTGTAGTTCACAACCGGACAAAAGAAAGCTCAGCGTTCGATATCACAATTTGGGAATGATACTATTGGAGCAAGACGAGAAAATTGAAAGTGAACGTTATCTAAAGCGAGCATTGGACATAGCTCTCGAAATTCTTCCGTCAATACATCCTAATATTGCTATCTATTATCATAGTTTGGCTTCTTGTATGAGCGCAATTGGTCGATTCGTTGAAGCTGTCGACTATGAGCAAAAGGCGGTGAATATTGATTTACATTGTCTTCCACCAGATCATCAACAAACTCAAAAACACCAAAAATGCCTGAAGAAGTATCAAGATGCGTTAGAAGTTATGATAACAATAGCAAACATGGATCGTGAGAGAGGAATCTTTGGACTTGTATTAGGCAATATGACTTTTACATATCCTCGCCGGAAATAAGCGAGTAGATGAACGAGTCTCTCGTTCGCGACTTTCTCAAAACTTTAATCGACTGTCTTTTTATCAGTAAAAAAAAAGCTTATATTCAAGATCATGTTGGAAAACAAGTTTCTTGCACTAAGTAATATATAATTAGGTCTACATGATAGAGCAAACCACAGAAACAGCATTTGTATCGCCAGGAGCGACGAGAACGTATTTTTTCGTTTCTTCCATAAACTTCAGATATGTTCCAATTGGTAATATCTTTGAACTCGATTGAGCTAATTCTGTTTTCAGAGATTCATACATTCCATTCGAGTTCATTCTGCACATGGTGTGCAGTGCGCATAATGTTGATCCATTCATGCCTGTACATATGGGTAACATAGCGTGAAGGTTCTTACTCTCCAAGAAATACTTCACATCATCTTCAGACCAAAGACTTAACATGTGTGGCAAAGTTCGAGATAATGAAGGTGCACTTTGAATTGAGAAACAAAACAGTTCGGAGGTTATGTCAACGTGAACTGTATTACTTACCTAAGGATAGCTACAGGCTTAATATCGACCACATGGCCTGTCGATTCGTGATCCTTGACCACTGCCGGAACAATTGAAGCTGCGCTGGTCCGATATCCATTGATTTCTTGAATGATTCTACTGTATGCTTCATCGAATGATTTAGCTTTATGAAAGTCAATATAAATTTTGTTTGTGGTCAGGAGACCCAGCCAACCGTCTGCACGATAAGGACCTTTGACAATGAGTGGAATGATACGGCATTGCTGTTTGTATGCATAATGTGCTTCCAATTCGCAGAATCCACTTTTTTTGTACGAGTCCGACATACAAAAGAAGACGAACTATAGAAACTTTTCATATATTAGAGATCATGGTTTCCGATAGATTACTTCGCTGTTTTCAATAGCGTGAGACATGGCACGTGTTGGTGAACCATACATATTATCACGATCCAGCCAAACACGAAAAGTATCCTTTTCAAGACGTTCTTGTATTTGATAAACAAGCTCTTTATCATTATGTGAATAACTCTAAAAGAATCATTNAACTATAGAAACTTTTCATATATTAGAGATCATGGTTTCCGATAGATTACTTCGCTGTTTTCAATAGCGTGAGACATGGCACGTGTTGGTGAACCATACATATTATCACGATCCAGCCAAACACGAAAAGTATCCTTTTCAAGACGTTCTTGTATTTGATAAACAAGCTCTTTATCATTATGTGAATAACTCTAAAAGAATCATTTTTCGTAGAATTTCACAAGCAACGAACTTATCTGTTAAATGCGTGGACTTACAATCATAATATCATATTCATACTGCTTTTTGGTTGCAGACAGTTCAGTCTGACTTTTATTCATGGACGTGTTCTCACTTGTTTCTTTCTGTTCTGTCTTGTCTTTATCATCGGTTATAATTTGATCTTCATTTCCCAATTTCCAAAGAATACCGTCGGCAACACGTTGAAGTGCGACTTCGTGGGACTGTGACAAGATCTTGATATGTGCGATCAACTCGTTATTGTCTCGAATCATGTTTGCTGCTTGTTTGTTGAATGTCATTACAAGAAGAAGTTCTAAGGAACGTTGCTTTACAATAGTTGAATCGAATTGCGACTCAGTAGCACAACGAACCAGCAATGGAATACCAGAACTCGAACTGGCGAACTCGTCTCTGATCTGTTCGTGCTGAGCGAGGCCTTTACAAAGCAAACAGACGCCCAAGTTAGTTATGATCGACAAGTGCTACTCTTCACTTACTTTTCAAACAAAGTAACAAGTTCTCGAGAAGACGCCGATGTTGTCTGGTATCAATCGCGGAATTGAAGTATTTCAAAAATATAGCCGTAATTTTGTCAGGTTCTGTTAACAATTTGACTTCATCTTCGGTCATGATCATCGCCAATGTCCGATAGCCATTGAGCCGTGTTCTGTCGCTTTCGGCTTCTGTCAACTTTAACATGCACTTGGAAACATTCGGCTTAGCTTTTATCACCGGTAGAAGATTACATTCCAATGACAACAAGAACAAATAATTGGCCGCATTGTCAAACAATTCTGTCGTATCATTGTCACTAATTTGTTTCCATAGAAACTCATCACGTAAAATAACGAGAAGAGGATCTAACATTAGCGCATGATCATTAATATAGTCATGCCTTACATCGTTATCAATGGCCAAAAATTGAAGCATATTAACAAAATGACGCAAGACCTTGATGTGTATTGGGTTTCGTGGCGGTACGAATTCTATCAAGAGCTGAGCATAGTCAGGAAGCGAACGAGCGACCTTTCGCATTAAATCAGTTGCTTTATCCAGGTTGTTATAGCGATAAATTCGAGTCACACAACCAACTAATAATGATTCCTGATCAGATGTGAGTTCGTCTTCGTTCGAATGTAAAGAGCGAAAAATATGGACAAACGTCGAAGAACAAACGCAATCGATAACTGCTTCAATTTCCGTCAAATTGTTCTCTTCGTTTTGACGGTTCTCTAATGCACATAAAAGAATGTGTAACGAACAATCGAGTTGTTTTAGATCGATTGAGGAATTCATAAAAAAGATTATTGTTTGAAGTTCCCCACGAGTAAATTTTCGAGCAAAGTACATTACTATCCCATCAATCAACATTTGTTTAATATCCTTGCTATTCATTAACGATTGCGTAAGACGTTGATGAAAGAAGTTAGAGAGCTGTATTAGCACTCCTTCGATTGCGTCATTCATATCTTGCTTTAGTAAATCAAGCAAGGCATCGTATAAGACGCTGACGATCGATGAATGGTTAGAATAATAGCTGGTAATGTCAATGGGTGTAAGCACGTGAATAACATTGGTCAATAGTTCGAGAAACGCTTCCCGGTTATCTTCACTTTTGGCCGTTGTTAAATTGTGAACAATTTCCTCGAAACATTCATCTAATTGTTCCGTTGATAGTTCATTGCCTTTATCGCGTAGAAGTTCAATCGATGCGCTCATTATTTGAACTTTTTGTGATAAAAATAAAATCTGTTCTACACACTTCAATCACAACAGTAGCGACGTTGTCAAGTTGAAAGCGAAAAACAGCACTTTTGCGACGAAACTGTTTTTTTTTCTATACGTATTGATGCTCTGTGGAGAAAAGCCATTGAAAAATGATTGCTTTTGTGAAGGTTGCAAACAAAGAGAAAAACAGTTTCTTCTCCTTTGCTTCAAACACAACTTGAAGTAAAATAGTGGGTATCAGTCCGCCTCGTTACAACTATGAACTAACCCTTTTCCTGATAAATTCCAGAGGCATGTATAGATCAGCGGAGATCCATAAGCGTGGACCAGAATGAATTTGACACAGTATATTGATACTGTGCTCTTTATCACTTGCATCCTTTTCATAATATGATCCAATAACAAACAGGCACATTCTTTCGTTATCAACTATTAGTTCATGAGGTAATACGTAGGTACGAAAGATCGAGAAACGAGAATGATTGTGTCGATCTTTTTTCTGCAAAACAAAACGCACGTGTGTTTACACCATAGAGAGGAAAGGATACGAGGTTAGGTTTTTTTCCCATATTGTATGTCGTATATCAAATAAACAAAACTGTGCAAATATAAATAGACGAAAGATAAGGAACAAAGACTCTGTTGTCGTTTACAATCTTCCTGATAAGAAAAAAAGTAGTTTACTCCTTTCTTTTTGTCAGTCATTTTTTTAAAGACATGGGAAACGGACGCAGTATGTATTGTGAAGTATGTAGCAAAGATTGCTGCTACCCTTGTGGAGCTCTGACAAAAAATGGATGTGCTGAGTGTTGGGGTCATGACTGGAAAATTATCAACACTATGGCCGAAACTCCATTTACATCCTATTGGGAAGAACAAATCAAATGTGCAAAGTGTTCACATGCGTACAAATTTCATTATTTCAAAAACCATTGAACACATTAGTTTTCACTTCATAGTTACTGATAAATAAATAAATAAATAGGAATACCATGATGCATGGTTTACTGCGAAGACCACCATACCTGCTACACTCAAATAGCACGTACTCCAACCATCCATAAGCGCAAAAAACAAATTATTATAAAACGTGCTTAAACCCATAGAACTCATTAGCATGAGTAAAAAAAATAATTAGACATGCTTTGTACTTTCGAAATGAGTATCAGTAACCTAGCATTAGCGGTCTATTTCCAGGCCGTTTCTATTAGGAAAAAGTGGCTTTTATCAAGATGCGCGACAAAATGACGTGCTTTTCTTTTATTTACTGGAATCGAAAAACGAGACGGACTTTTCCAGAAATATAACTTTTCATTTCATGATTATAAACGAACAAATTAACAATAATACCCACAACACACAATTCAGCAAAGATGATCATAACTGGACGAACCAACTCGTTCGCTCTAGTCAACTGAACAATAATCACAGTCACATAAATACCACTCCATCCACCAATGAATGCAATAAACATGAAAATCATTTGTCGGAGTAGAGAAATGTCTCTTCGTGATAAACTGAGCGTTTGACTAACATTGGCTCGAACACGACGTGATGAGGACCGAACATGATGAAAAATCAAAACATTTAAAATGACGTTCATAATCGATGGTACAACGACAGCTGTTATTAGGGTATAAAATTTTAGCCAGATGACATATGCGCAAACCTGCAATTAACAAATGTAATGCGAAGTTCTTCGAAGCACAGCTTATACCTCTGTTTTCTGAAACACAAACGGCAATGAAATAATCAAAACTCCGAGCCATTGTGTAGTAAAGCACGTCGCAATCCACTTTGTCGTTTTAAATAAAGGTTGATTGTGATATTTGATTGAACAATATCGATGAACAGAGAATGTAACGAAAGAAAACGGAATTGAAATACTTGCGACATTAAAGAAATAGTACAGCATGACACATTTATTGGCCGTCAAAAGACTGCGACCGGTCAGATAAAGTGAAGTATAATAGATTATGAAATAAACTGAAGTAAATAGAGTATTGATACAGATGTTGATGATAAAGGCATTGTTCATGGTATGAAAACGACGAATCAGAATAATTAAAAGAGAATATATCGAAACCAAAAGGGTAATTAAACAGAATAAACCGATGATAAAAATAGGTTTGATATCTACGGGGATGCTCATGTTGCCGAAGAGAATTTTAAATCGAATGCACGGGTTTTTACAATTAGATCACGAGATGAACACGGAGATGTTTCTTACTCAGTCTTGCTTGAGCTAAATTATAATGATGGGCTTTAGTTACTCTGTATGTAATTTCCTATGTGAGGTAGCAAAGTCGAAATATGAATAGTTGATGTGTCCTTCGACATACAAAGTTCTTGCATTTGTGATTTGAAAAGCTTCGTTTTACGTGCTTTTAGCAGATATAAAAAAATAATAGAATCTTTGTGTTATACTTTTCTAGAAAAAGGTATTCATGACTTATGAATTTGCTCTTTGTGAATAAGCGAGTGTTTCTTTTTTTTTAAAAATGGACGTCGACTTTTGTCGCAGACATAGTTTTTTTATTTTGATGTCTGCTGATAAATAGGTTAATAGTAATACCCAATATGCACCATTCGCTGAAAATTACCATCGCCGAAGAAATTCATTCGTTGATTTGGACGAATTGAGAAGCAATTACAATAACATAAGTTCCACTCCATCCACCAATGAATGCAATAAACATGAAAATCGTCTGTCGGAGTAGAGAAACGTCTCATCGAGTCATACTCAGCAGTTGATTGTTGCAAGGTTGAACATATTGTGACGAACGTCAAACATGAGGGTGAGGGTGGGGGTGTTGGATAGCAGTGTAAAACTCGAAGCTTCGGGTTTTAGATTTATAAGTTTTAGAATTCGAAGGAAGTTTTAATACTCGAATCGAGTTAACGATTTCTACACTACTCTCTTAATCTCAAGATAGTTTTCGCTATTAATTTAAATTTATTCATTTATAAAAAAATGATTGCTACTTCTACCAATTCAAATATAATCTACGTACTGTTGGTTGAAAATAACTAAATACTTTATTGTTTTGTATACGGAATATTCAATGATATTTTCTAGCCATATGTATCATGCGAAAGTTCTCTTCAACATATCCAGTTGAGTTGAATGGTATAACAAATGAAGAGGAATATAAAGAATCAATAAATAAAATAAATCATACGCTTTCTTTGTACCGAAATGTTTCAATTACACTTCGGATCATTTGTGGCTTGTTAACAGTGGTAGCATTTCTCTGCTTAATTGTTCGTGTGGGTGTGCAAATAAACAACGATGATATACGTACAGGGCGTTTGATAAGTCACTGACCAAAAAACAATTCGAATATCTTCGTAACGGCTCGCACAAATGGGTTGGTTTTTTTATCAATGGTAGAGGTGTATTCAAAGTTTATATTTGTAAAAACAAACTCTCAAAAATCTTTCGTTATATATCTCTATTGGCTGTAACAGTAGAAATTTTACTTTTTCACAGATAAAAGAAAAAACAATGTACTTAACAAAAAATATATGTCCGCGTGTCTTTATGAATATAAACTTTGGACGTATCCCTCATCATTAACAAACAAGATTAGATTCTTTACTAGAGTCATGATGGAGATATTACAGAATAAGTCAGTCAATTAACATCATTCGTAACAGTACTTTTTTTGAATGTAGAGTAATTTTATTATGATGAAGGGAAAATGTTGAAAAATTTAAGGAAAAAAAGGTGCTCGTCTCTTTACTTAAGTTATCATTCTTTTAATTAAAACTTTTCTTCAACAATTCTAATTTACGTGCACAAAATTATTTTATTTTTCACGAGATGAAGATTAGAGCACATGACACAACCAGATAACCAAAATCAACTCAAAGATACTTATGAAAGAGGTCTCTCAGTCAATTTATTTGTAACGAATTTACAGAAATCATTTCAATCTAAATTTATCGTGCAAAATCATGAATCATGTCACTTGTGATATTTTATTTGATACAATATCAACGTATTTTCAATGAAGAATATCGTAATAATACGAATAACAATTCAAACAAGAGAAATACGAGAAGGAAAAAAACGAAGATTATACTTCAAATTTTCATATATGAATACTTTTGATCAGATATCTTTGCTTTTCTGACTGAAATAGAGGAAGAAATTTGATAATACGTAGAAAACTTCATTAATATTTCTTTCTTCAAATAAATCTACACAATAGAAACAACATTGAGATGACAATATAAAAATATCATATATTTATATTGTTAACTTTAAAGATGGATAATAAACAGATGAAATGATTTAAGAAAAATAATTTCTTCTTCGATCATTTTCTTCCAGAAACAAAATGTTCATTAAAAAATGAATGAAATTCTTGTATATCTAATTCTCTTTTTCAGAAGGTGAAAGATTCTCTAATTAACATAAGATATAAACCATGGAGTTTGACTTTACAATTAATTCTTTTTCTTTCTTATTAACCCTTTTCAGCCAAATGTTGCCATCTTATACCCAGACAGACAAAACTTTCAAAAATACGCGTAAAAACGCTTGAAAATGTGCGCTTTTTGCGAATTTATTTTCGTTACGTAAGTGAAGTTGGCAGCGGATTCGAGTCCATCCATCAGTGATTCGCCCAGGAGTGCGTTCCAACCGTTCCAGATGCGGCTCGACNCTATAGAAAGTTTTCAGATATTAGAAATCATGGTTTCTGATAGATTACTTCGCTGTTTTCAATAGCATGAGACATGGCGCGTGTTGGTGAACCATACATATTATCACGATCCAGCCAAACACGAAAAGTATCCTTTTCAAGACGTTCTTGTATTTGATAAACAAGCTCTTTATCATTATGTGAATAACTCTAAAAGAATCATTCTTCGTAGTATTTCATAAGCAACGAACCTATCTGTTAAATGCGTGGACTTACAATCATAATATCATATTCATACTGCTTTTTGGTTGCAGACAGCTCAGTCTGACTTTTATTCATGGATGTGTTCTCACTTGTTTCTTTCTGTTCTGTCTTGTCTTTCACATCGGTTACAACTTGATCTTCATTTGCCAATTTCCAGAGAATCCCGTCGGCAACACGTTGAAGTGCGACTTCGTGGGATTGCGACAAAATTTTGATATGTGTGATCAACTCGCTATTGTCTCGAATCATGTTTGCTGCTTGTTTGTTGAATGTCATTACAAGGAGAAGGTCTAACGAACGCTGCTTTACAATAGTTGAATCGAATTGCGACTCCGTAGCACAACGGATCAGCAATGGAATACCAGAACTCGAATTGGCGAACTCGTCTCTGATCTGTTCGTGCTGAGCGAGACCTTTACAAAGCAAACAGACGTTCAAGTTAGTTATGATCGACAAGTGCTACTCTTTACTTACTTTTCAAACAAAATAACAAGTTCTCGAGAAGACGCCACTGTTGTCTGATATCAATTGCGGAGTTGAAGTATTTCAAAAATATAGCCGTAATTTTGTCCGGTTCTGTTAACAATTTGACTTCATCTTCGGTCATGATTATCGCCAATGTCCGATAACTATTGAGCCGTGTTCTGTCGCTTTTGGCTTCTGTCAACTTTAACATGCACTTGGAAACATTCGGCTTGGCTTTTATCACTGGTAGAAGATCACATTCCAATGACAACAAGAACAAATAATTGGCCGCATTGTCAAACAATTCTTTCGTATCATTGTCACTAATTTGTTTCCATAGAACCTCATCACGTAGAATAACGAGAAGAGGATCTAACATTAGTGCATGGTCATTAACATACTCATGCCTTGCATCGTTATCAATGGCCAAAAATTGAAGCATCTCAACGAAATGACGCAAGACCTTGATGTGTATTGGGTTTCGTGGCGGTACAAATTCTATCAAGAGCTGAGCATAGTCAGGAAGCGAACGAGCGACCTTTCGCATTAAATCAGTTGCTTTATCCAGATCGTTATAGTGATAAATTCGAGTCACACAACCAACTAATAATGATTCCTGATCAGATGTGAGTTTGTCTTCGCTCGAATGTAAAGAGCGAAAAATATGGACAAACGTCGAAGAACAAACGCAATCGATAACTGCTTCAATTTCCGTCAAAGTGTTCTCTTCGTTTTGGCGATTCTCTAATGCACATAAAAGAATGTGTAACGAACAGTCGACTTGTTTTAGACCGATTGAGGAATTCATAAAAAAGACTATTGTTTGAAGTTCCCCGCGGGCGAGTTTTCGAGCAAAGTACATTACTATTCCATCAATCAACATTTGTTTAACATCCTTGCTATTCATTAACGATTGCGTAACATGTCGATGAAAGAAGTTAGAAAGCTCTATTAGCACTCCTTCGATTGCGTCATTCATATCTTGCTTTAGTAAATCAAGCAAATTATCGTATAAGACGCTGACGATCGATGAATGGTCAGAATAATAGCTGGTAATGTCAATGGGTGTAAGCACGTGAATAACACTGGTCAATAGTTCGAGAAACGCTTCCTGGTTATCTTCACTTTTGACCGTTGTTAAATTGCGAACAATTTCCTCGAAACATTCATCTAATTGTTCCGTTGATAGTTCATTACCTTTGTCGCGTAGAAGTTCAATTGATGCGCTCATTATGTGAAATTTTTCTGATAAAAATAAAATCTGTTTTACACACTTCAATCACAACAGTAACGACGTTGTCAAGTCGAAAGCGAAAAACAACACTTTTGTGACGAAACTGTTTTTTTCTCTCTAATATGTTTTGATGCTCTGTGAAGAAAAGCCATAGAAAAATGATTGCTTTTGTGAAGGTTGCAAACGAAGAGAAAAACAGTTTCTTCTCCTTCACTTCAAACACAATTTGAAGTAAAATAGTGAGAATCAGTCCACCCCATTACAACTATGAACTAACCTGTTCCCTGATAAATTCCAGAGGCATGTATAGATCAGCGGAGATCTATAAGCGTGGACGAGAATGAATTTGACACAATATCGATAACGTGCTCTTTATCACCTGTATCCTTTTCATAATATAATCCAATAAAATACAGGCATATTCTTTCTTTATCAACTATTAGTTCATGAGGCAATACATGGCTACGAAAGATCGAGAAACGAGAACGATCGTGTCGATTCTTTTCTGCAAAATAAAACACACGTGTGTTTACATCATAGAGGGAAAGGATACGAGATTGGGTTTTTTTCCCATATTGTATGTCGTATATCAAATAAACAAAACCGTGCAAATATAGATAGACGAAAGGTAAGGAACAAAGACTCTGTTGTCGTTTAAAATCTTCCTGATAAGAAAAAAAGTAGTTTACTCTTTTCGTTTTGTCAGTCATTTTTTAAAGATATGGGGAACGGACGCAGTATGTATTGTGAAGTATGTAGCAAAGATTGCTGTTACCCTTGTGGAGCTCTGACAAAAAATGGATGTGCTGAGTGTTGGGGTCATGATTGGAAAATTATCAATACTGCGGCTGAAACTCCATTTACATCCTATTGGGAAGAACAAATCAAATGTGGAAAGTGTTCACACGCGTACAAATTTCATTATTTCAAAAACCATTGAACACATTAGTTTTCACTTCATAGTTACTGATAAATAAATAAATAAATAAGAATACCACGAGGCATGGTTTACTGCGAAGACCACCATACCTGTTACACTCAAATAGCACGTACTCCAACCACCCATAAGCGCGAAAAGCAAATTATTATAAAACGTGTTTAAATCCATAGAACTCATTATCATGAGTAAAAAAAATAATTAGACATGCTTTATACTTTCGAAATGAGCATCAGTAACCTAGCATTAGCGGTCTATTTCCAGACCGTTTCTATTAGGAAAGAGTGGCTTTTATCAAGATGCGCGACAAAATGACGTGCTTTTCCTTTATTTACTGGAATCGAAAAACGACACAGACTTTTCCTGATATATAACTTTTCATTTCATGATTATAAATGAACAAATTAACAATAATACCGACAACACACAAGTCAGCAAAGATGATCATAACTGGACGAACCAACTCGTTCGCTCTGGTCAGCTGAACAAATAATCAGAGCTACATAAATACCACTCCATCCACCAATGAATGCAATAAACATGAAAATCATTTGTCGGAGTAGAGAAATATCTCTTCGGGGTAAACTCAGCGTTTGACTATCATTGGCCTGAACACGACGAGAAATCAAAACATTCAAAATGACGTTCATAATCGATGGTACAACGACAGCTGCTATTAGGGTATAAAAATTTTAGCCAGATGACATATGCGCAAACCTGCAATTAACAAATGTAATGCGAATTTCTTCGAAGCACAACTTACCTCTGTTTTCTGAAACACAAACGGCAATGAAATAATGAAAACGTCCGCGCATTGTGTATTGTCGCCCATTTTTTCATTTGAAATAAAGGTCGATTGTGATATTTGATGGAACAATATCGATGAACAGAGAATGTAACGAAAGAAAAGCGAATTGCAATACTTGCGACATTAAAGAAATAGTACAGCATGACACATTTATTGGTTGTCAAAAGACTGCGACCGGTCAGATAAAGTGAAGTATAATAGATTGTGAAAGAAACTGAAGCGGATAGAGTACTAATACACATGTTGATGATGAAGGCATTGTTTATGGTATGAAAACGAGGAATCAGAATAATTAAAAGAGAATATATCGAAACCAAAAAGGTAATTAAACAGAATAAACCGATGATAAAAACAGCTTTGATATCTACAGGAATGCTCATGTTGCCGAAGAGAATTTTAAATCGAATGCACTGGTTTTTACAATAAGATGATGAGATGAACACGGAGGTGTTTCCTATTCAGTCTTTCTTGAGCTAAATTATAATGATGGGCTTTATAGTTTCTCTGTATGTAATTTCCTATGTGAGGTAACAAAGTCGAAATATAAATAGTTGATAAGTCATTCGACATACAAAAATCTTGTATTTGTGATTTGAAAAGATTCGTTTTACGTGCTTTTAGCAGATATAAAAAAATAATAGAATCTTTGTATTATACTTTTCCAGAAAAAGGTATTCATGAATGATGAATTTGCTCTTTGAAAGTCAGTCGGTTGAAAGACCTCAATTAAAAGCTAAGCGATCGTTTCTTTTTTTCACGAAAAGGTACACCGCGTGTTTAACACGACAAAACAACTGATATAGAAAGAAAATCAAGTCAAAGGTAGCAATCTCGCATTTTATTTAGAGGAAAGAATCGAATGTAAAAACTGCTAATCCACATTAGAAATATCACGAGTTTCTCAGAACATTTCGGTTAAATTTAGAATACAACAATTCCATAGTTCTTCGTTGATAAATATCGATAGTTAAAAGTATGAAAATTTTATTTACATGCTTGTCACATGATTCACTGGATTCTTTGTTTTTCTTTTTTTTTAAACGGACGTCGAATTTTGTCGCAGACATAGTCCTTTACCTTATGTCTGCTGATAAATAGGTTAATAGTAATACCCAATGTGCACCATTCGCTGAAAATAACCATCGCCGAAGAAATTCATTCGTTTATTTGGACGAATTGAGAAACAATTACAGTAACATAAGTTCCACTCCATCCGTCAATGAATATGTAATAAACATGAAAATCATCTGTCGGAGTAGAGAAATGTCTCATCAAGTCATACTCAGCAGTTGATTGTTGCAAGGTTGAACACATTGTGACGAACGTCAAACATAATGAAAAATCAATACATTCAAAATAATTTTTATGATTGATAGTACTACGACAGCTATTATTAGCGTGAAGATTCTAAGCCCTGTGACATTAGCACAAACTTATAAGCAAAAATCTGAAACACGGATGGCAATGAAATAATGAAAACGTCCGCGCATTGTGTATTGTCGCCCATTTTTTCATTTGAAATATAGGTCGATTGTGATATTTGATGGAACAGTATCGATGAACAGAAAACGTAACGAAAGCAAATGGAATTGCGATGCTCATGATATTAAAGAAATAAAATAGCATAACACATTCATTTGGAGTTTTTCACTTGAGATACGATAACTATCTTTTTTAAATGAAAATATCCCATGTTTATTGCTAGAGTTTTGTTACCTTATAAAGACATCTACAGAAAACGTAGTGACAAAAGAATCTCCAATAGATGTTAGAATTCGTCATACTTATCTTATGAACACCTACTCGCAACTCGATGTCAGGTGAACCTATAGCTGCTGAATTTCAAATAAGATTGAACTGTAAGATGAAATGAAATGAATTTTATTCATGTGTACAATATAAATTTGAATTACTAAAATGTGCTCGATCTACAGGAAAATACACTTTTACGAAAAAACCCAAATTTGTGTTCTTTTTTTCGCAATTACACTGTTTTTACGTTTAACTTATGAACCGATTCAATTAGCATAATACTTTTTGAAAGAAAAGATACAATAAAACTTATATAATTATAGAAACAGTGACACATTGTGTTGTCTTCGATAAAGACGTTTCATTTGAACGGTTTTTTAAATTAAATCCTCTGTTTCAGACCGAAAAAATGTACCCCATTTAGACTTGCATAAACCCCATTTGAAAAATCTGAGTTGGCAGCCCTGACTGTGACAATAACAGTTATTCTTTCCTATTCTGTATTTCAGCAGTTCTCTAGGATCTTTTATTATTTCATAAAGTCGATAAAAACTATTATCGCAATCAGCTAAATCGACGTGAAATTATGACAATTGATCATTCTTCAGGGGAAAATCTGAAGCATAGTCTTCATAATCAGTTCGAAGAACAGCTTGTCTGAAACAGAATAATTTTTTATTTTGTTTAGATCAAACAGTGTATGTTTTTATTGACGACGCTATAGTTATTATGCCAAAGATGATCGATAATCGGATTCTACAATGTACAAGCAGTGTAGCTCAGTGGAAGCGAGCACTGGATTCATAACTCAGAGGTCGATAGATCAAAACTATCCACTGCTATCGTTTTTTTCTTCTTTCGTTATTGACTAACATTGCATCAGAACATCAGAATGTATCGACGACGTGTTTTCGCAATAACATACTGTTGATCAGCACACTTAACTAATTGTGTATGAAATATTATCAAAAGCTCGTGTGATCAGCTTTTTTCCAACACGTAATATGTGATAAGATTACATAGTATAAAAATAGATACGAATATACACGATCGCAATATCTGTTTTTAAGTGATGAATATCAATTTAAACGATGCAGATGAGGGTGAGATGGCCAAACATCTAGCCACATTCTGGAGAATATCAATAAAATATAACAGATCACATAGACATGATTGTGTATACTAAAATAGTTGTAAACTCTTTAGATGTTTAATAAATTTTAATATCTTTCCAAGTACATCTGTAAATGACTTATCTGATATTTAATAAACTTCACAAAATCTTCTCAAATATTATCTTTTTTGGATTCATAAAAGGGTTTATTATACATTTCTTGCACGAATCTTTTTCGAGTTTCGTATCATTCAGTTTTTTACAATCTAATTCAACTTTGATAAATACTCATATAATTTGAAGATTTAGGATATCACATATTACCTTGAGAACGATCAACCTTTTTATCGTACGTATGTGGTCGCCTTTGTAACTTTTCGCGTCTACACTCCATACAGAGAAAAGATTCATAAGGATTTATTTGCTGTAGATTAAGGACAATCTTATTTGAAAACTCATTTCAAAAGAACCAATAGAGTCGAATATTTAAGCTCTATCGAGTGATAACTATATTGAACTAGGAATGCATATTGTAAAATAATATCATAAAAGATTCTGTTGTCACTTAGAGTAGCAATGTCATCTAGCTAAAGAAATGAAACATAGAATAAAACTGATCGACTTAATCTTGAGTAGAAACTTGGTGCAGTATGTATATATGTGAGGGAATTACATCTTCTAACAGATACGAATTCTAATAATATTCATAATATGCATTTCTAACTCAACATGATTATTATTGAATAGAGCTTGACAATTTATGGTCTGTATTCGTTCTTTTGAAATAACCTATGTAATAAAATTGTCTTTAATCTACAGCAAATAAATCATTGGGTAATTCTTCTCTATATATAGCCTAAACGTAAAGAATTACAAAAAAATTTCACTCAAGATATACTTGCAGAAAAACGAGCAGTTACCTACGATAAGAATTTGATTGTTTTCAACGTAATGTATAAGGCCGTAAACCTTCAAACTATATGAATACTAGTAGGGATACTCAGATGACTTAGGGAACTTTTGTTTCTCTGGAAGCGTCTGCTAGTTGCGACCGAATCCCTCAGGAAAATATAGGAGTACCCAAACAGGACTTTATTAATCAATCAAAGATATTTAATATATAAACACTATGATGCTGGAGTAAAAAATATTTTTCGAGAAGTTAAAACGTAGCGTACCTATAGGCAGGATTCTAGATTTTTCTGAACCGATTCGGTTCATTGTAGGTTTCAACCAAACTAACGCTGGTTCCAAGTACAATTTGGTGAGCTCTATCGGCTCCAATCATAAAGTTTTTCATCCCTAATTCCACCCGCACCCACATCCACACTCCCCTACATGTGTGGTTTTTTCAGATACCCATGTCGTCTTCGAATTCTGCGCCACCAATAGAAAATCAACTATCGATCGAAGAGAATTCAGTGGAGATCAAAACCAAAAATGATATGATTGGTCGTTTTTTCGAACGACAACGGCGCTATTTCCTCGATGAACTACGTGAACTGTTTACATTTCATCCAAAGGAGTGGCTTAACGCTTTTCGACGGAATTCTCAATATCCTCTGTTTGTACGAGGTGATATTGATGGACTTTTCGCATTGTTCATTGATAATATGGCGACATTACTGGCAATTATTCTGACTCTTCAACCGGTATTGGACTCTGACATCATCTATGGAAAGATTGTAACAGGGTAAAGTACAAAGACTGAAGAAACACCTACGTTTCATTTTCATTCAAGTGTGGCTTTGGCCATGGTATGGGGTAATATTTACTACGTTTATATGGCTCGAAAGCTTGCCTATAAAGAGAAACGAGGCGACATATGCGCTATGCCATACGGAATTAATACACCAGGAGCATGTAGATATCAATTATTTCTTTGCGTTAATTTCGTTTTTAACTATTTTCAGTTGCCTTTGTCTTTGGAATCATTTATCCTGCCTACTACAAATGTATGGATGAAGGTAATGGACAGAACAAACGAACTTGCCAAGAACTTGCTTGGTACACAGCATTGGGAAGTAATTTCATAGCGGGAATCATTATACTAGTCCTATGCTTATTTGGTGAGTTTATCAGACGGAATACACCTAGTGTGGCCCTTCTCTCATCTATTTCGGCCGTTGGTTTCACCTATCTAACATTAAATCAGTATCTAACTGTGTCTGCTATACCCATGGTATCTTTTCTCCCGTTTTCCATCATTATACTCGGTTATTCTGGAAAAAGTGAGCAAATCTCTATGTTTGTTCTTCATTCTGTTCTCTTTGTCTAGTTAAGTTTGGTCCTATTCCAATTGCTTGTGTGGCTTTGGTTACTGGTACTGCTCTCGCTTGGATAACATCGACAAATGATCCTCAAGCTGTACGAGACGCTAGCAAATTAATTAAACCTTATCCAGCAGCATTTCCAGTCAAAGGTCTGTTCGAAAACATGCATCGAATTGGTCCATACTTGTCGACGACGATTCCAACAGCTATTTCAATTGCTATCGGTACAATCCAATGTGTTGAGTCTGCAAAGAGAGCCGGCGATTTCTATCCAACTCGAGAGTCAATGTTTGCCGATGGCACAGGAACAATAATTGCGAGCTTATTTGGTTCCATCCTCGGCATGACCAGTAAGCTCTTTGAGTGTTACGACTACATGTGTACTATGTGCAAAGTGAGTCTCGAGAGTAAGGGTATGAGTATAAGCAAAGGATTTTTTTCTAACCCATTCTCGCACTCAGACCCTCGACATCATTTTCTCGTTTACGTGTATAGCCTATATTGGTCATCCGGCATTTAAAAGAATGGGTGCGCGCCAGGCATATTCTGTGATCAATTGTTTTGCGTACTTACTTTTGTGCTTTTTTGGGATAATTGCTCTTTTTCTTAAAATTATTGCTGTTGTCGCTGTTAATCCGATCATTGTGAGTAAATTTAGTCTGTTTGTATTTTCTATTAAAATTTTATATAATTGTATATTCAGATATTCGTTGGTCTTTTCATATGCAGTGAAACACTTGCCATAACGCCTCAACGTCATTATCCGGCTTTTCTTCTCGGTTTGACACCAGTTCTAGCTGATTGGGCAAAAGGTACAATAATCAACGGTGTTGCTGCCGCCTATTCGAATTTTACTGCACCGAACGTGAATTTTGCTCAGAATGTTACTTCTCGCATAACTGACTTTTCTTACCGTGGACTATCCAATCTGGCAGGTGGTAGCCTTCTTCAATGTATTTTTATCACGGCAATTATCATGTATATGACTGATCGAAAGTTTATTCGAGGCGCTGTATGGTCATTATTAGCAGGACTCCTCGCTTTTTTCGGCTTAATTCATTCATCGAACGTCGGTGTTTTATATCAAAAGAATGATGATGGATGGCGATTCACCGTTGGCTATGGGATTATGATATTACTTTTTATACTACTAGAAATCGGACAACGATTGAAATGGATAGAAGGACCTGAAAACGAACCCGATGATTTAAGTTCTGAAGAGTGGGCTGAATGGCATCGACTGGCGCAACACAATAATAATCACACACGATTCTGAAAATTCAGTTTCTCTGTGTACATTACGTCGCGAAGGAAAAAGCTTTTTTCGATTTTATTTTCTAAAATGAACAATGTCATTGAACTACAGATATATCCAAAATCTTAGATCATTTGGCTTTATCTACGAAAAACACAAGAGTGTGAGTGTGGGTGTGAATTTAGAGTGAAGATAGTGTAGTCAGTAAGACAAAGTGATGTGTATAAAGAGGAATGAGTAAGATTAAGAATGACTATATGAGAGATAAGAGTACGGTTAAAGAAAACAAACCGATTATGAGAGAGACTTTGGTATATAGTTCAACGCTCATTGTCCCGAAGGGTATTTTGACCAAAGAATGAAATGGTAAGAAAAGAATTGTTCGTTAATTCAATCCACTGTTGTTATCCTCCACAGAAAATGTTTGTTTCAATATTCATGGGAAAGAAAGAGTCCGGCATTATGAATACTCTTTTAATGTGATCTCTTCTCTTTCACATATTCATTTATACTTAAAATTCATTCTACATGATTTAATGAATACACATGAAACCATCTCCGACAGACTTTTATTTTAAAAGTCGCAATTTTCTCATCTGATTTAATTCATGGGCGCATAAAGAAATTTTAGCTTCTTGTTATTCAATTAGAATCAGTCGAAGGGATTGTGTCGATGAATTATTATTGTTTTTGTATTAATACTTTCGCTTCAAACGGTTTCAAGTTCACTTGAAGTTCATTTGTTCCATCTCCAACATGGAGAATTTCGCTTTCGTTCATTCCATTGGTGAACTGTGTACTTTCCTTAGCAGGAATATTCTTTAACGTGTATCCATCTCTATTATTCGCGGAAAAGTGAGCAATAATAATTATTAAATCGTTCTCGTTCGATCGCCGACTGTACGCCAGAACTCGGTCACCATAGTTTTCATAGAAAAAGTCTAAACTATCACTCCGTAATGCTGCCAGTCGACGTCGCAGTTTAATCGCTTTTTTGAAAATGTTAAGCAGAGTACGGTAAGGTGATTCAGGAGCATCTAATACATGCCAATTCGTTTTCAATTCTTTTTGATGTTGATCACCTACTCAACGAATCGAAAAATTGAAAATAATATGTGTCTTTTTGTCTTACTTGTCACATCTCTTGCATCACCCAGTTCCGTTCCCATCCAAATCATTTCACAACTTGGTTTCATCTTCAATTGCTCGCCGTCATATTCATAATTGAATTCTGGTGGTCAGTAATGTGGATCTTTTAGTGCGAAATATAGAGAATTAAACAGACTTGAAAATTTCAGGGACCTTACCATCTGGGTTGTGGCGATTAGTATAATACTGAAAATCGAACAAGTAGCCGTTCATAAGTGCAGGTTAGTTCTTGTTGTACTTATCCAATAATTCTTATCTATTCGCAACAATGGACAGCCGTTATTAGAGAATGTATAGACTCCATCTAAAATCACGCGAATTCCACGCCCATGACACTCGTCAATAAATCGTTTGAAGTCAGCAGGCGATTCATAGGACTGCATCAAAGCAAAATAATGTCGTGTCGAATAACATCAATCATATCCCATACCCATCGATTCTATATAATCAGACAAATATACAATAAGAAACCTCCGGTAGGCATAGTTCCTCATACTTTGGATCGGCATGAGCTCAATTACATTGATTCCTAATTCTTGACTTAGATAATCCAACTTGCCTGTGTTGACAATGGTATTCAATGTGCCTTCATCTGTAAAATCAGCGGTGCATAATTCGTAAATAACCAGCTCCTTATTTTCCGGTAAGTTGACATGATCGTTTTTTCCACGGATAGTCATCACTTTCGGATACAAGTTTTCGCCCTTGTGCTTTATTGTTACTAAACCGTTGTTACTCATGGCATCAAATTGAGTAACACACGGGTCGATAACTTCTACTCATCCGTCTGGTTTGTAATTTGGGGAACAAGTTTGTAGATTAAATCGCGGTATTCGTAATCACCACCTTCCAGATTGGATACTTGACAATGAAAATAAACAGTTTGATCATTTTTCACCGTTGAGATTCGCTGACGCGATTGCCGATCCTGAGTACGAGCAATCAACAATTCCGCTTGTTTCTTATTTGGTACGAATATTTTAAATTCAATCGTCGTTGTTACCATTTGTAAAATGTTTCTATGCAACAAAAAGAAATCATAGAACTTATATACTTAGCCGCTCTTACATTAGCGGTAATTATTTGCATTTCCCTTTCTCTGATGAACAGTGTATTCGTAAGATTTATATAATGTTCTACCTTTAACAGGCTCAATAATCAGCGTGTGCGTGCTATTCCATTAAGCTACAAGCAAAGAATGTTCTAGAGCCTTTTTTGTACGGATTATGGTACTCATACCAATGAGTAATCAATGCACTTTTTCACTGTAAGCAAAACTCGATTGTTATTGTCTGTAAGACGAACCTTTCTGTTTTGCATATTCTTAATATTGTTTCATACACGTGGAGGAACAAACACAACTGCGATATGTCGAGTTTATTCTTCGCTACCTAAATCGTTATCTGTATACAGCTAATTTCTGTTTCAACCAGCTTTTCAGATGACAGCAATCTCTTCAATATATTATTTACAATCTTCCAAAATATTTTTTTCGATATTGTCCACAACTTCACTCGCCCATATGTAAGCACATCCTTTCCTTCGTCCTCTTCTCCTCCTATCGCTTAAAGTGTTTCTTTAGTTCGAGCAGGTATTGCATTTACATAAACGAATCGTCCAATCAACGGTTTACGTCGTTTTTCTCCACGCTCTCGTCGAATTTCTTCCCTTTCACGCCGTGTGACGTCAATACCAAAAAAGTATTTAAGTACATCCATCACGATCACAAACAGTGCGACACTTCCCATTGCCACGATCGCAATGAAAGCAAAAGATTTTGACATAATCCGGTAAATCAGAAGCTTTGTTGTTACTTGTTCACAATGTTCACCCTCTGTTCCGCTAAGACATTCACATTTATATCCACCCAACAATGGACGACAAACACCTCTATTTTTGCATGTCACAGTCCAACAATAGTTGATCTTCGTTTCACATCTCGCTCCTTCGTAACCAGATGAACATGTGCAGTTGAAGATGGAGGTCGATGTCGTATTACAAATACCTACAAATACAAAACTCTTTTCATCTATTCCGAAGAACAAGGGAATTCACCATTGTTGAGACAGGTGCTTGGTTTACAAGGACGTTCATCATTTTGGCATCGTTTACCAGAGAAACCAAGTGGACATGAACAATAATAGTCTTGATTATTGTTCAGACTAGTGCAATTGTCAGTATTGAGACAGGGATTTTGTACATGGCAAATGTTGCCAGAGATGTTACAATATGAACCAATGTCTGTGGTATTAATACCACATGAATGTGGATTCCAGAACAATGATGTTGAATTGTCTAAAAGGGAAAGGATTGTTGTGAAGGAATAAGGAGTTCTGAAGACATACTTGGATGTGTGGACGTCACCGCAGTGGTGACGAAAGGAGATGTTTCTGCAAAAGAATAATGATGGGCAGTTCTCAAAATACTAATTGAGATAGCTGAAAAGTATGCAGACACTTACGGCATGAACTACTTGACACACTGAATTCTTGGATGCGATAATTTGCTTCGTCAGCAACATACAGGTTTCCCACACTGTCTAGTCGAAGAGCGTATGCAAAGTTAAGTTGGTTTGATGCCGATCCTGGTGTCTTCGTGCAGCCAGCAATGCACTCAAAGTTACCATCACCTACTCGAATTATACGATTATTCTTATTATCAGCTATGTACAAAAATCCATTTCCATCCAATACCACATCCGTCGGCTTATTCAATGTCAAACCATTTGGAATGTTCTTTCCAGCAACAATAGTTCCATTCCGTTCTCCTCGTCGAAATAACTGAATTCGATCGTTTACCTCGTCAGTCACATAAAGGTTAAAATTGATATCCACATATATTCCCCAAGGATACTGAAGCTCATGTAATTGTGATCCTGCTGATCCTGTTCCTGCTATTGTCACCGCTGAACGATTGTTATCAGAAAGTGATACTGCCACTACTCGATGTTCTTTATAGAGAGAACAGTAGAGAGTATTCCGAATGTCTACAAAAAGACCATAGCAGTTTCCTGAAAACATCGTCACAAATTGACTGGTGTTTGAGTTTGATGAAAACTTGTCGATGCGACCTGTTTGGGTACCATTTTGAAAATAAATGTCGCCATTCAGTGTCACAAATAAACCAGTGTATTCGAACAAAGTAGCAGATAGTTCACGCGATGGATTAGTAGTATGATCGTGCCAGATGAGAATTCGACTACTGACATAATCAACTAAATAAAGAGTGTCATTTGAATCGATGAAAAAGCCGCGCTCAAATGAGCGAAAGGTAGTGTTATCGATGAAAGTCACACCACACTCACTCCATGTTGCATTGGAGTCGAGATTCGGTTGATTATATGGAACTAGAGAAAAAATACAGAATGTAGATGAGAGGAAGCATTTAGTTCAAGGAGCTATTCTCTTAAAAATCCATTGGAGTTTCCAATGGACAGAGGACTCACCCGGATAGTTGAGAAGTTCAAACTTTTGCACTCTATTCTTTGACCACTCGCTCACATAGAGTGAACCAAAACTATCGAATGCTAACGAGTGAGGCTGGTTGAGTTGATTTGGTCCAGTTCCTGTTGTCCCCGAACATGCAACGATACATGTTCCACAGGATGAGTTAGGAGCCCATCGGGTGATCCGCGAGCTACCCGCCTCAGTGATATACATGAATTCATTTTCATCAACAACCACATCCGTAGGTGAATTCACTTGTGTTAAACTGTAACCAGATGTTCCATCACCAGCCACACGGATGCCAGATGACGCTCCTGCGAGCCATTTCATGATTCGATGATTATTGCGATCTGCAACATAGATGGTACCATTGTCGCTCACAAATATTCCATATGGCCAATCGAGTTGTTCATTAGTAGATCCTTGAATCCCATTTCCAGCAACTCTCGTGCCATTTGTAGAATTAGGTGGAAAAACAAACACACAATGAGTGGTCCTGGACGTGACATAAACATTCTCATATGAGTCAACATAAAGATAGAACGGTTGTCCTAGACTGGTTGTGTTATACGCCATAGTGAGATTAGAACCATCCAGTCTCATATTTTGTATTCTGTTATTGTGTTCGTCTGTGACGTAGAGTGATGAATTGAAAACGAAAACATCAATAGGCTGGTTGAAACGGCCGAGTGCAGAACCTTGATCAGAGCCGATAGCAAAGATGTTGGTAGTTTGAGAAAGATCAACAACAAGGACTCGATGATTAGGAGAGTCCGAAACATAAAGAACATCGTTGTCTGTAATTGATATACCGATGGGACCATCGAGTTCTGAGAGTGAGGATCCTTTTTTCCCAGATGCATTTCCTGCAACTGTGGTGCCATTTTGATTCCACGATAGTTGAGATGATAGTTTGATCTTCACTAAAAGTGATGAGAGAATAATAGTACTATCATCTCCAATATGAGCAATCACTCTTTTGCTGAATTGATACATCGTTAAGTAAAAATAGAATACATTCTATAGCACAGCCCAAATGACTAACTTCTATCTTTGCTAAGGAAGTAGAAACTTGTCAGTTGTAAATGCCGCAAATACGCCCTTTATGCACTCAGGCGACGAAAAATATAGTACGCGAGATATTATCTCAGTTGCTTCTGTCAATTTTGAAGGAAATCAGAAGTTGTATATTATCGTTGTCAGAGCTATTAAAGAATAGATGTATGATAGCTGGTATTACACCATAAAAGAGTTTACCCAATATTTTTTATTGTTCGATTTGTCTGATTAAACTTTTTACAACATGAAAATTCTGTAAGCACTTACTTGATATTTCTTTGACCATCGTTATCATTATTACACATATTAGAAAATTAATTTTCATTGCCATTCAGGAAATCTCACGGATAAATGACTTTTCTGTCACCTATTAACGATTGAGAACATACAACACAATGTTTTTCTCATATAATTCCTTTTCTATGTCTTTCCGTCTGTTATTCAATATTGACATTCTCTACTTCTGCAATTTTCCAACATCTTTCTACAAGTCCACACAGATTTATATTCATATCTTGTACTGGAATCTTATTCAGATTCTCTTTATGATCCCATAATGTTTTTTTTTGTCTAAGATAAAATTGATGATCACAAAATAATCTAACTCATTCAAGGCATGACATTCGTTATAGACTGTTCTTTTAGAGAAACAAAATATATATTGACGTCCAGACATATGTCATACTTTGACAAATAATCTCTTTCTTCAATTAATTATCACGCTTCTGAATAGTATAGAATAGTTCGATTAAATTACTGTTTTCCATTCTCAGCCATAAAATAAATATTTGATTGATTTTTCTTCCTGAAAAGAAATCGATCTGATAAAAAAGTGAAGTTTTCCGTGTGATATCATCAACGGATTATTACACTAATGGAATTCTCATATCCAGAAAAGGATGCTCTTGATCAGTTTACATTCATATTCGAAACGTGATTGGAGATGACATTCATTTGATGCCAATGACAAAGCTTTTAAAGATTGTCTTGATGAACAGATTTATATAAAACACTGTGTATGAGAAAAACATAGGACAACGTTGTCTTTCTGATGTTCATTCAGATTATTTCAATAGAAAACTTTTTTCAAGAATAAAAACCTTCATTATTAACTCGATATTTCGTGGATTGAAACTATCAGAATTGAACAACCTTAACAACGTTTTTCTCTTTCTGTTTCCTTGTCATTCGATATCTACACTCTCTATTTTGATAATATTTTAACAATTTTTTTGTGTTTTAATCACATATATGTCTCTATATTGATTTAAATAGTCGGCAACAAAGACAAATAAAAGAAAATACTTCCAAAGTATACAGTATCAAATACCAATTGACGTCAATCGGAGAAATCATAATTAATTTACTTTTTTTGTATCAAGTTTTTTAAAGTTCAGTAACGATATCAAAATAATTGAATTTTCCTTCGGAATGTTCAAGATTGACAAAATCTGCTTCAATTGATTGTTGTTACTTTGAATTTCGATTGAAAGTCTCACATTGGAAATAAAATGTCGTTGAACACAAGAAAATTTCAAAAAACACGTTCTAGTCTTGTAATCACGACTCCAGACAACATTTATTCTTTACTGATTTGTTTTCCCATGTCATTCTTTAATAGTTATTCAAAGTTTCAAATGAAATCGCACCACTACATCGCTCTGTACTTGACCATTTTGTGCATCCATGTTAGATCGGAAAGTAATTATCAACCTCAGGATTCTTCTCCTAGTTTTAACGGATTTCCTTTGCAAATGAATGGTGTAGAAAAGATTGTTTTATTTCTTCTCTCGAAAACAAGTTTTTAAGAGAAGATTTTCGATTGTGATTTTAAAGACTGTGTAGATCAGAAAAGTATAAAGAGAAGTCATGTTTTCAGCTGATGTGTTTTTATTAAAAAAAACAGTTTTAAGTCCAGCATTATTATCTATGTTACTACTTCAACGTCGAAATGTTGTTTGAGCAACATTTGTTTCTTTCTCTTTGCACTCAGCTTTGTCTGGTTAATTAGATACGAATTTTAACTTCTATTTGTTAAGCACAAAATGAATATGTTTCTGAAAATCCTTTTCCAGGCAAAATAAAGTTATCATCTGAATTACATTGGAATCAAAATGGCACCGCAGTGGCAGGAAATGCATCTGGGAAAAAAGGATCCTCACTCTCAGAACTCGATGGTCCCATCGGTATATCAATTACAGACAACGATATTCTTTATGTTTCGGACTCTCCTAATCATCGAGTCGTTGTTGTTGACCTTTCTCGAACTACCAACATCTTTGCTATCGGCTCTGATCAAGGTTCTGCACTCGGCCGTTTCAACCAGCCTATTGATGTTTTCGTTTTCAATTCATCACTCTACATCACAGACGAATTCAACAACAGAATACAAAATATGAGACTGGATGGTTCAAATCTCACTATGGCGTATAGCACAACCAGTCTAGGACAACCGTTCTATCTTTATGTTGACTCATATGAGAATATTTATGTCACGTTCAGGGACAATCATGGTGTGTTTGTTTTTCGACCAAATTCTAATTACAAATGGTACTAGAGTTGCTGGTAGTGGGACTCAAGGATCTGCTAATGAACAATTCAATTGGCCATATGGAATATTTGTGAGCGACAATGGTACCATCTATGTTGCAGATCACAGTAATAATCGAATCATGAAATGGCTCGCAGGAGCATCATCTGGCATCCGTGTGGCTGGTGATGGAACATCTGGTTACAGTTTAACACAAGTGAATTCACCTACGGATGTGATTGTTGATGAGAATGAATTCATGTATATCACTGAGGCGGGTAGCACGCGGATCACCCGATGGGCTCCTAACTCGTCGTGTGGAACATGTATTGTTGCATGTTCGGGGACAACAGGAGCTGCACAAAATCAGCTCAACCGGCCCCACTCA